TCAGAATCTTAGATAATTGCATAACATAATCATTTGCAATTACTAGTTTAGCATGAAATTATACCTTAAGAAGTAAAAGCCAATTAGAATAAGTTAGCACAATAATTAAACAACTTTGCCTACCTTTCAAAGAACATAGATAAATCGGAAAGCAGCGCATCTTCTAATTAAGGGATGTTGTTCTCTTGTAACAATAATACGAACGCAGGATCATCTCTCGTATCAGGATCTACTATCTAAACATATTATTGAGTTTAAGTGGCTTCACATAGTACAGAGTATTTTACTTGATTCTAGTCTTTACAAAACGGGTTCTATGTCCTCCTCTTATTCCATCTGTTCTTCTTTGACACATTAATACTCTTCATAATCTTCGTATTCATCTTATGACATTGTTTATTATCAATTATTATAAATAAAACAAATTGTTTTCTATTAAAATCAGTTTACGCAATAGTAATTCAGAAATTAGATGAGATACTGCTGCTGTTCTAAATCAAAATAGGGATCTCTTGATAGCTATATTAAATCTCATTATTTTGATATATAAAATATTAATTTATGATCGAAGTATCTCATAAGAGTTTGCAATTCCAACAAGGTCTATTAAATCGATTGAGGTTCAAGATTAGAAATGTAAGTGATGTGCCAATTACATTCAGAATCAGATGCAACAACAACACAAATTACAAATTGGACCATTACATGGGACTCATTCAAAGTCGATAGGATTTCGAGAATTGCATTCAAAATATTGAAGCTGCTGTAAACTCAATTGAAATTACATTAGGATATCAAATTGTTTGGCGATTAATTGGAAATTCAATATGCAGAGTTTGCAGATCCTTAGGAAGATTTGAAGGAATTTTGGAAATCCAGAAAAAGTTTGGATCACGTCATCATTGCCATTGAAGTCTTGGATGTCCAGTATTAGCAGAAGGAGGCTTTGTTGGCTGAATTATAGGCTAAATCACAATCCTTACAAAAAGAATTATAAACTATCAAATAATAATATGTTTAGGCGTAGAAATCTGCTGTTGATATCAATTACTTTAATTAGTTCTAAGAGGGATTTACTGTAGGCTAATTGATGATTGTCATTGTAATAGGCCTGTTTTTCGGTGGTATTTTTAGATGAATTTATATTAAAATACATAAATATCATGATTCTTCATAAATCTTATTAAACCTTTTAACCATAGGAGAAAATATAACTTATATTTTAGAAAATATATTGTATATTTTATCTGATGAGTTACGAAATGTCAGAATAGAAATTTCTATAGAACAATCTTCTCAGAACTATAAATCCAACCACCACAAGAAAAAAGAAGAACGATCCATATACTATTGCAATGTTAAAGTTATGCTATTTAGTTAATCTACTCAAAAAGAAGTCACTTTTTTGTAATGTCGATTTTTATCCGGAATAGATCTAACTAGTTTTTTAAAATTATTAACTAGTATTGACTATAAGTAATTGATATAAATAAGTACTTATAGGAGTGGCAACAGAATTGATTTATTCTTCTGCTTATGCTAACATATTTCGAGTTTCAATAAAATGATGTGTCAATTCTGTACTATTGCTTTTTTTCATTTGTATATTAATTATATAAATTATTATATATTGGAAAACATTATGCGGTTATTCAAAATAGTTAAGGCACTTATTTGTTGATTAATGTTTATAAGTTATAAGCATTTTATTGGCGAATGGGTGATTTGCTGGGTTTGTTCACTCTAATCTTTGAACTGGGTTTGCTTATCTATTTAAATTCATTTTCAGATTGTCTTTGTTTCTCCAACTATTGTTCTTCTTAATATTGTTATAAGGTCTGTTATTTCTTGATCAAAAACTTCTCTTACCTTTCTATCAAAGTGTCTGTGTTTTTGGAAGCCAATTCTAAGGATTTCTTGTTTAATTCAGGTTGGAATGGATAGGATTCAATTGATTCTTCTTTAAAAGATTGGGTTCTAAAATTATTGCAGAAATTCCGTTTAAGAAATTCATCAAACTAATTTTATGATAATACTTTGATTTCATGATCAGTTATCTCAGTCTAAGCTCTAGTTTACCTGTTTTCAAAGAGAGAGTATTGTTCTCGTCGTTTTTTGACTCTTTCTTCAAATTCAGGAGGTAACTTGTTGATATTCAATTAATATACTTCAGGTTGTGGTTATTTGCGTTCTTGCTAATGACATTATATGTACCATAATTATATAATCTGGAAAAGACTTCTTCATTTGGTTTAGTAGGTCTTTGATCATTTTGGACTTATTCATAAAACTTTTCGAATTGTTTTTCAAATAGGTATTTCTGTTCTCTTTGCTAACCATATTTAATCAATCTATCTTCAACTGGGTCATCAAACTGCATCATTTTGGACTTTTCATTTATGCTTGGTTAGAAACTGGAGTCATTTTGCTATCTGCTTCCTTTTTTCTCAAAGTACTGTTGAGCATGATATTTCCAACCATCAATGGGTGACAGATAATTCTAAGGTAATTTTTATATTTAAGGTTATTAAGATTTTTGTTACAGACTCATCTCATTTTAATACTGCTCTTAAAATCGTTTTTGATTAACTAGATTTTTCCATTTCATTGAATAATCATAAAAGTCCTTAGTTACTTATTAAGGTGGTTCATCTTCGATTTCATTTACTTAATCAATCAGCATTTATAATTATTTTTAGTAATCAACGTCTTTTTATTTCTACTATTTTTTTAAGGCATTTTAATAGAGCTTATCATGACATTGTAATTCTGGTCCATATTCAACATACATGAAATTTTTGAACATTGAATTTGAATTTTTAACTTATAATAATAATAATAAACATTTGTATTTAATATAAAGAATCACCAACTTCTTTCATCTTCGTTTAATTATTCCATAGTAAAATATCTATCTGATATTTGTGACATCTCATTGAATTACGGTATGTATGCAAGAGTATCATACTTTTTCTAGGCCAAGTCTTCCCAAGAAATATCGTGAAACCAAGGATGACTTTGCAATTCCTTAAAATCCATGAGAAATCCCAATCGATGGGTACTATCATGATTTATCAATTTTTAGATGATGTCCTTACATTATGATGAACAAACTATATTTCTGGGGAAATGCACTTCACCTTTGAGAATGAGTTTCAAGGCTATTTCGAAATTGTTGTGATAGAAAGGAGTTATGCCTACCAACAATTCATAAATTAGAATGCCCAAACTGTACCAATCCGACATTCTAGTTAGTTCACCATTCTTAATGTATTCTGGAGATGAATATTCAACAGTGAAATTGATCTCCTAAGTTTTCTTAAATTCCTAGTACATTCTCAATTTGCCATATCCGAAATCAGTTAAACATACATAACCTCTTTCGTCTATCAAAATATTCTCAGGTTTCAAATCTCCAAATATTATTCCTCTCTCATGCAGATCCGATAATGCTATTGCTACTTATGCAACTATTTATTTTACTTATTATTCTTGGAAATTGTTGATCTCCTTTAAATGTTAATAGAGGTCTCCTCCCTTCACGAATTTGAATATTAAATTTACATTACCATTGTAGAGCAAACACAATTCCAATTCCTCTATGAATGGCAATTTCTCATAATTCTTGAGAAACAGCTCCAACAAGTCTATGTCGACTGAATTGATGGGAACACATTTCAGCACTGAGAATTGTTATTATTTTTCGTATTTATTGTGCAATAAGTAGATCTTACTCAAAGATCCTGTAGCTAAGACTACTGATTTCTAATACTCCTCTAATTTAACTCGCAATCTGAGTGGGTCATTAGCAAACAGCACCATCACTTCATTTGCAGTTGCCTTACTCTTATTCATAATATTGATATAATTCAATTGGAAATTCTCAGGGTACAATGTGCTAATTTAACATTTCGGATGCAAACTAGTTTACTTTGATTTATCAGGTGTTTGATGATGCATGCAGTATGGCTGTAAGACTTCATCTTCTACAAAATATATTCTGATGCCATCTATATTGTGCATTTTCAAAGCAATTGCTAAGTAAAATACTATTACATCTCTATTCTCTTAAGATTTGTACAATAAATCAGATTCTGTAGGTACATGTATAATAAACTCTGGACTCTTTTTTGATATTGTGACTCCAAATATTTTGTTAATTGCTATCTTTCTTTTAATTGATTTCTTATCTATGTTATACACAAACTCATTAGATATTGCTATCATTCTCAACTATTCATTATTCCTCTTATTGATTTTTGTAATCATTCGAGATATCAGGATCATTTCTAAGGATGTGCATTATTTCTTAAAATACTTTTCTGCATCCAAATGATAAACGTCATTTGTATCCACCTATATTTATTTCAAAACATTCATTTTCATATGCTCCTAATGCATTCAATATAATATTAAAACTAATTATATTTTATACAAATTAATAACACTAACTCAAATAAAATATAACAAATCATTAGATATATCTTGTGTTTAACTTTATATTAGCTTACTCTCAATTATCACTTGATTTTCCAATTCTTATTCCAAAACTCTCTTTTTGTACATAATAACAAAATCCAGAATTTTAATAGTCAAATTGTATGCATTCTCAATTTTTAAATGTTACTATTAAATTAGTTATGCTATTTCTCTACTTTAAGATTACTTAATGATTCTTTCCATTTCCTACCATGAATTACTAAATCTAATGATAAGCCAAAAGGATTAATGGGTTTTGGATGATTATGTGATTGTGTAAATTATGTCTTAGGGTACTTATTAAGTGATATTTCTGATATATAATGCAAATTCATTCAGAGTAGTTTTAGAATTTGATTCTCTTGTAAACTTAACTTCAATTGATTTTGGTATATTCTGAGATCATAAATAAATGTAAAGATTTTGATTCATCTGTTCAATTTCTTTGCAGTCTAAAATATACAACAATACATTTATTATAATTTTAATTTTCAATATTATATAAATCAATAATAAAAAAAATGAATATAACAATTATAGTATTAATTACAATTCTTCTTATTGCACAAGGAAAAAGACACATAATAGAAAATAAGATGCATAAGAAGCAATAATTGGAGGGAGGCATTAGTTGGGAATCTCCAGAGAGTTTCCACAATGATGAAGATTATTAAAAAGCAATTGAAAAGGCAAGACATGAATTCCATCAAGTGTGTCATTTATCAGTTGATATCACTTGGGTTAGAGTCGACAAGGTGGGTTTCCAGATTGTGGCAGGAGTAATGTGGTGGGTATGAGATCAGTTTGATTATGTAATTTAGTTAGAAGTTGAATTGAGTGACGATAAAGTGTATGAGATGAAGGTGTATTAAGAATTAGAAGGAACTTTTAAGTTAGTAGAGTGTTCCAAATGACATATTATTCACACTATTTTAATATATTATATAATAAAATAAATTAATCGTTAAAATAAAAAATGCAGAGATCCTGGTTAGAGTAACCCCAAAGAACTTTGGACATCAATTTTGATATTAAATCCATTCGAAATTAAGTTAAAGATAGATGCGTACCAGTTCTGTAATATTAAACAGACTCTGCACAGAAATCATTCTATTCTTATAGGTAATGGAATCGAATATCTTAGAAAAGAGAGTTTGCCCACTGTGCCATCTTTCGAAAACCTATAGGCCAAGATAAGGGATTTCTCATACACCAAACTCAATCAGGCCTCATCTTTTTAATAAAGGAATCAGATTAGTGATAAATCAATCACTTACTCACCTCAAAAGGCGGTGGGTCTATAAAAGAAGTAATATTGACTACTAGAATTCAAGGATCAATAGTTCTTTGGGGAGTAGGAACAATGTCAATTACCAAAGTTCTCGATCATAATAATCACAATCATATTAAAGCAGACCTATTGAATCAAGTTATAGGTCTCAATAGAGGAGAAATTTGAGTGACAATGTGCAGTTGAATGAGATTGTGTCTTTGAGAAATAAGATTGAGTCATCCTAGGCGAGTAGAAGTCTATTGGGAGCAAAGTAATTGATTTGATTTTATAGTAGTTATGTGAGCGAATTAGTCAAATTAGCTTAGGCCATAACAAATGCACTGAAATGATAGTTTAAATTATGATATAACTAAAAGCTTATATATATTAATTTTTATGAAAAACAATTAATACAAAATTAGAGTAACACTAGATAGTACTCCTTCAACTTATTAAACTACTGAAACTGCATCTTTGTGGGAAAACTTATAGCGATCGAAAGATTCGCCAAGAAAATCTAAAATTAGAATTGCAAGAGACCCTCTGGAAAATGAATGTCCTCTGCAATAACCGAACCCTTTTTTATTTAATGAATAGTTAAAGCATAGTTTCAGAGACTATTTGGAAGGTTAAAAGACAGCATTAAATTTAGTAAATGAATGTAATCATATCATAAGTTCATCAACAACACATAAGATGGATTAATTAAAACTATTTTCAAATGTGCATAAATTTAGAAGTTAATTAAAATAAAGATCCTCTGTTAGATTATCTATGATCTAAAATTCATCATAGGCTGATGATCTACTTTAAAGGAAAATTAAGATCTAGGAAAGATTTAATAAGATTCAAACTTTGATTCAATAAAGGATGTAATAAAAAAATACTAAAGATTCACTTCGAGATGTTTAACTATTTAGACATTTATTTGAAACTTGCGAGAAGAATGTTAATAAAATTAAATCGAAGAATCTACTATCAGAAAAGGCTGATGGAGTTAGAGAATTTGATAAAATAAAGTACTCTAAGAATCCATAAGGTTCATTGAGAGTTCGACTAAACACTCAAGAGAGTCAAAATTCATTTAATAACAATTTGAGGAGTAAGACTTTACCAGATCAACAAACAATTCACTTAACCAAAAAGAAGGAAAGGGAGAAAATGAATGCTAAATTAACTGAGTTTCTAGAACACAATCAAAATCAAGAAAAAAATCTACTACTCAAAGCCAGAAGAAATCTAGTCAGGGATCTAAAGAATGGTAATTAAAAATTTCATTAATTTGAACCTAATCGATATAATATCACAGATCCCTTGAGTAAAGATGTGAAATTCTATGCTTACATGTTCATGAAACCGAAAAATGAAGATATTTTGAAGGAGAAGGATCAAAAGTACAAGTTCTTGTGTAAGACTGCTCGAGTGCAAAAGAATCCCTAGAGACATTACTTAACCAATTTTAATAAGATGCAATCTAATTCCAGAGAGGAGAGCCTATAGGAAGATTCTTCATTCAACTCTATGCTTGAAATCAATATTGATAATCTTTATAAAAGAAGCGCTGATTTGTAGAACACGATTCTTAATACAAAATCTGAGAAGTTTGTTAAAAGAATTAGATAATTCCAAAAAGTGCAATCCTTAACTACTTAAATAATTAAAGTGAATGAATAAAAACTATCTAATACTAAATTATTATGACAACATTGTTACATAAAAACAGTCCTATGTTTATCAATAAAAATCAAAATCAAGATTATCCTAGTTCTCCCAAGGACTAAAATCTATTGTGGGTTCACTCTTCTTAATCTTCATTCTCTATGATATTCTTCTTCGTTTCATCTGATACAATCTTTAAAACTAATTTTATTTTCCTTAATTAAATGGCATTTCAATAATATTTTCTTTATTGCTTAATACTGTCCTCTGTGGAATTGGGGGCTTAATGGGATACTAAATTTGAGGTAGATGTTCATCTTCCATTTCAGTTTTAGTCTCAAATGACTGTCTTCTCAGTCTCTGTCTCTCCAATTTCATATGAATAATTTTCAATGCATTTTCGCTGGTCTTCCCCAATTCCAATCCTTTATAATAATTCTATTTGATTTCACAGATCTCGGTGATCTACCTCAATCTCTCTACTTTCATGGAAGTAGACCGCTGTTCTTTAGTAGATCCAAAGATGAAATTGTAACAATTTTATCGTTTATTTTATTGACAGTTGATCATTTTAATTTATAAATCCATTACAATTATTCCTACCTCCACTAAAATTGAGAAGTAATCATGAACATTATATAATTGATAATATTAACAAATATCAAATGTCATCCTCCTAGATGATGTGATCCCCCTCTAATTTAGGAATAGCTATTCTACTTTTTGGAACTAAACTCGATCCGAATTGAATCTTACTCAATAATGTCCAACCTCCAGATGCTGTTATAATCAAAATAATCAAACCAAAGACAAATAAAAACACTTACTCCAAAGTATTCGTGTTATCTGTCTACTTACCAGGTTTTTCAGTGTTCGTGCAAATCGATATCGAAACATTAATATACTTTGAGCACACCGTTGATAGAAATTCATCATAAGAACTATTAGTTTTATCAATAGAATCCAAATATACAGAAAAAGAAGTTTGATTATATTACAATTCTTTGTATTGCTCCAATATTTTATTTGTTTTAATTTCCTAATTTACCTCCTCATCTTCCTCAAAACTATTCTCAACACATTTGTCTATAGCTTCGGTTGATATATTATTATTAGTGAAATAAGTCTAAGCACAATTAACCATTGTTGATTTCTTACATTAATATCCGAAGTAAAATGAATAATTGAAATAATGATTTGGCAAGACTTACAACACACATTATTGACGCAATAGCTCTTTTAATATGGCTTAACCTGATACATAATCAGAATACTCTATATTTAAGTTAAATAATAATACAGCAATATCTGCCTCCTCCTAAACAATTTTTTTCAGGCTGTTTGAATTAATGACGCTTGTAACAACTATAGCATGGCAAGAGATGTTGAACAATATTCACTTTCACTAAGATTAAATGATTATCTATAATATTACATCCATTCTGATGAAATTCTTCGTAGTGCTTTGAAAAGTTGCCATAGAAGTCCAGGTAGGAGTTGTCTGAGAAATCTAAGCCTATTGTTAAGTTGACATCCTACTTGGCATCCTTTGACACTGCTATTGCTAACAATATAAAGTATAACATTAATTTTAATTTTATAGCTTATTGAATGTAAAAGTCTCATCGAGAATGAATCAATTATTTTCAGAACTCTCCTGTGATATAATAAAATATAAATTCAAAAAACTAAAACTTAATTGATATTTGAAAAATAATCAATTTAACATATGATTCCATATTATAATATTATTTTGTTAATTAATAAACACACAATTAGTGTTGTAAAGTGATCCATTGATTGGGTGTATTTTTTATTACTTTAACAATTTGAATCCTGAGATATGGTACTGAAGAAATAAAGTTAATGTTATTAAAATGATATTAATATCAATTTTATTGTTATAAAAAGTGAGCTATTTTCAAATGCCTCCATCTTTAAGCAACTTCCAATGGGGTTTCTTCAATCCCATTGATAGTAACAGATATTTATGGGTTGGCTCCTTTTTCGATCAAAATTTTACATATTTCTAGATGACCCAATTTGGCAGCTACATACAAGGGTGTTAAGCCTCTCTAATTTTTTTTGTTAACTAAACTGTGTTGGCTTTTTTGGTCATAGAAATATCTTCATAGATGGAATAGACATACTTTTTCGGATCCTTATTTAATATTTCTTCTATTATATTGGGTGGGAAGCCTTTTTCAATGAGTGAGAATAGAAGTTATTACATTTGAATATTTTTTAAGGCTTCGTTGAAGTTGCGACTGCTATCTGATCTTTGTTTTGTTTATACTTCAGGTCTGTATCCACTGATGGTTAGTTCGTCCTTGGGTTAAAATATACAAATTACTGGAGAGTTCAATCTCTTCGTTTTAGGATTCTGCAGTAACCTAATGGTGTTGATGGCATTACGAAAGCTCCTCCAATGTTTCAAGCCATCTCCGTCAGTAAAGGGCACTCTATTAGATAAGATCAAGAGATACGTGTCAGGCTAAATGTTCCTAAGAGGAATATTTAATTTCTTTTTCATATTATAAAAATGATTAATAGTTATTCATTTAACGAGTATACAGTTATTCAAAACAAAATCAAGGACCAGGGATGGGTTTTTGAATCTTAAATCAGCTAGTTTCACAAAGGAATCATTGGAAATACAGAGCATTACTTATTTCTTTTTGCTGATTTTGGTTTGTTCCCAATTTTTAATGTCTTTAATGAGATTGCAATCAATTCTACTAGCTTATTTAAATTCTCCATCGATTTTGTCGTATGTTAGGATGGTATTGGAGGAGAGTTTGATGGTTGATTTGGAAGGAAGCTATAATGGTTGATAGGATTAGATATTGGGTGTTTGTTTTGTGAATTTGGTTGTTTGTTTTGATTGACAATTACATTGTTATTTAGTGGACTTAGAGTCGTCGTCATTATCATCATCAAACTCGACATCTGGGAGATCCAATTCAGTGCCCTTGTAGAATAGTCTCTTGTCTTGGGAGGGGTACAATTTGTCTGCAATTTGCTTGCTGAAAATAAGGTTAAATTTTTCAATTTATTCAGAGGGCAGATTGGCAGCTTGTCTATAAATGAGATTGCCAGCCTTGGTTTCAACTATGTAAGTGGGATGAGAACGCTTGCTTTCTAGTTTGGAGAATACGATGCCAACTATTTTTTGGGAATCAGACATAAGAAATTATATTGAATGTTTGAATTCGAATGGAACGGATAATTATCACTCAAAACATGAACCAAAATGTGAGTGAGAGTTTATGATACATTGAGATGTGCAATAATTACATTTATTGTGGGAAATCGATGATTATAATATATTAAATAAATAATTCAGATTGGGATTAATGTTTCAAAATAAGTACATAATTGTATTAATTCCATTAGAACAGACTATGACAGAGGAGTGAATACCTTTTCACCAGAGGGTCGTCTATTCTAGGTGGAATATGCATTGCAAGCAATCAAATTGGGAGCAAGTGCTTTGGCTATAAAAGTGAATGATGGCGTAGTATTGGCAGGAGAAAGAAAATTGAATTCGACTCTTTTAGAGCCTAGGAGTATTGAGAAGATCTATGAAATTGACACTCATATTGCTTGCACTGCCTCTGGTTTCATTCCTGATGCCAGAACTTTAGTTGAACATGCCAGAGTAGAATCTCAGAATCACAAATTCAATTATGGTGAACCCATCAATGTTAGAGCACTCACTTAGATCGTTTGCGATTTGGCTCTTGATTTCGGAGAGAGTGATTCCAAAAGCAAAACTAAAATGTCAAGACCCTATGGAGTGGCGCTATTGATTGCTGGTGTCTCAGATCATGGTCCTCAAATTTACTAAACTGGTATTGAATTGAATGAGTCTAGATCCCACTGGAACTATGATTGAATACTAAGCCAAAGGAATTGGAGCAGCAGACGAAGGAATCCAAAGCATTCTCAAAGAATAATACAAATAAGTAAAAGTATCTCTTAAGTCAGGATCTGACCTTGGAATAAGCTGAGAGATTGGCCATCTTATGTCTCAAGAATGTGATGGAAGAGAAAGTAATTATGTAAGATAATATCTTAGATCAATAATTCCAATGTAGAATTGGCTGTGATTACAACTGCAGAGAGAAGATATACCTAAAGAACATCAGAACAAATATAGAGTCTAATTGACAAAGTTTGAAATATATATATATAAGTATAATATGATTCAATTACGCGAGGTGTTTATTTTAAGAAGAGTGTTGGACTTCTTATTTTAAAAAAAGTTATGGAAACTCTGAAAATGGTGATCGTCCTCTATATTATAGGGTTGTGAATAATCGGTGTCATCTTCAAACACTATTTATTTCTAAGGGAAGTATTTTTTAAAAACATGTCTGTCAGTCGAAGCGTATCCAACAGCGACTTTGATGACTTCCTCATTTTTTATGTATTGCTACTGTCCTGGAAAACCTCTTTCATTTCAATAAATCATACCCAAATCTTGCTTTGTACAATTATAAAAATTATCCAACAGAAGGTTTCGATTCTTCCATTGTCATTTTCTTTACTCGCAAATCTTAATTATTATCCCAAATTTCATATTCCTCGTCAGCACTGGCGTTACTATCGGAAGTTATGACTGACAATAGCGATGGTCTCTGTTGACAATTTATACTGGTTTGACGATTATATAGATTTCGAGGTTAAACCAAAGGATTTGCATTTTGATTCACCTGAGTTCTTAATGGATAAGGAGTCATTTATTTTATTGTTCTGGGTTGTGGCGTATAAGACTTACACTTGATACTGTACTACAAAGATGCTAACAGCTCTCCTGCCTTCCTTATTTTTGATTAGCTATTATTCACTCTAAAGCCATTCACCTAAGTTTTTTTCATTATTATATTAATTAGCTATTAAATCATAATAATCATAACTGGGTTAATTGAAAAGTACAATTAAACAACTTTATATTAATGATTATCAATTAATTTCTAATTTAATGATATGGTTATATTATATACATATATATTATCAAAAGGTAAAAGATAAGATACTGTTGCTATCTTTGTTAATTTACCTCATTATACAATTTGTCTCAAGATGAATTTTGAGAAATATACCTTGTAGAAGCGACTTTCAAGATGATTCAGTTGTAAATATTTTTTTAAGTGGAATCACTACGCCCTGGGGGAATGACTCACTTTTAAGTCCATTCCAAGATAACCTATCACTTTAGTTGAATATTTTATATATCCAAATTATTCAATTAGCTTATTAATAATCAGTTTAAAAAATTTTAGATTATATTCATTTAATAGAAATTCTTCGTTGCATTATCAAGACAATTGAACAGTTTCTTCATTCTTTAATATGAGAATGTGTTCTAATACTCTTTGAAGAGTTACATCAAATGCTTTTCTAATCTAACTTGATTTTATGATTAATAATTAATATCAAACTGAGTTTCATTTTATTATTTATCCAAACTCAACACTAGTGCGAAATCTTCATCTCCAATCCCGTTTTCTAATTTCATCTGATAAGCCATCCACACCTAAAGTACCTATAAATCATCTGAGTATTCCATAGATCTCTCCTGAGAATTGAAAATGGTGCTCTCTGATAGTTGTTCTAAGTATTTGTAAAATATTGTGCTACATAGTGGGATTCTCATATATAATTGAAAATTATCCAAAATGATAGATGGGATCAATGGCAATCTTATTAATGTACTTTACTATATGGGAGCATAGATGACGAAATAGAATTCCACCATGCTCCTCAAAATTTAGGAGATGAGCATAACGATCAACGAAAGTGGAAATCTAGTAGTTCCACTGTAAATTTCGCAATCTTTCTCATTGATAAAATAACTGATAAAAGTATTAACGTATAACCAAATAGCATAGATAAGAATTGGTTTATTGACAAACCTTTGAAGTGTATCAAATTGTGGTATATGGATTTTTGAATTCCAATATATGATCAACATGAATAAAGTGATTTCTATTGTATTATTAATTGCTTCCACTATGTTGATCTCCTCGTACTGAATGAGATCATTAATATAATGTTACTCCGTGTGGGATATCTCACTATTATAAAGTTTTACGATGTAATAAATTCCTGACCACAATGCGGAAGTCATAAAGAGTGCTACAAATAAAATACGTAACTAATCTTTAAATAGTTTGGTACATAAAAAGGTTAAGAAGAAGGAGGACTTACTATTCAGATGAAATGCAAGTGCCACTCTGAGTGATTTGAATACTGTGATATATACAAAGAGTCCCCTAAAAAAGTTCTAAAAGATCATCAGAATTTTAAGGATTTGAAAATTGTTCTGTTCAACATAAACTATCACAAATGTGGTTATGACTATAAATAAATAAAGTGACAATCCTTGGAATATGGTCAAAAGGGGTGACAATTCCTAAATTGGGTTCCAATTCTTCAGGTTATAAATTTAGATAAGATTCCTTATAGATATTAGAGTAATAAGAGCAAGAAAAACTATAGAAGGTATAAGTATTTGTTCAGATATTTGAAAACAAAATTATTACATTTAATTTATGTGAAAGTCAACTCATTCAATATTACATAAAAATCAATATAAAAGTAATATCATCGATCACTTTATTTCCCTTCTGCACCCAACTAACGTGAGCCATTTCCAACAAGTGATTGCAAGCAGTTTCAACATCCATTCTGTCAACATACGGAGTAACAGAATCTAGAATGTCTTATTAAGAAAGAAATTCAAACACTCCGTCTGATCCTAACAGGATAACTCTATCCATTTTCTCAAGTATGAAATTGAAGATCTCTGGTTTGTCAATTACCCCCACTGCTTTAGCCACTTGATCCCCAATAGACCTTGTCATAGCCAATCCTGGTACATTGCCATTATTCCAAACTCTCAATGGCCCACAGGCCTAGCCATTCTAATCCTTATAAGGATCGATCCTTCCCCCCTGATTGACTATACGTTCTGCCTCATCCTAACAATCTGGTTTGTGATCTCGCGATAAATTTTTGAGGAACCACTTATTGGTTCGACTCAACATAACTGCTCTCGAATCACCTAAGTTTGGGCAATAAATCTCTATTAAATTGTTTTCAATACCTTATTATGCAACATAAATAAACCAACCACAGTTGACCCAGAGTATGACTGATCGATAGATGATTGATCCAAGGCTTTGATTACTTGAGCGAATATCGTGTATATGGTAGCATAAGGACTAGTTTAAGTTATGGTAATGGATACTTGTTTTCCAGTTGATTCTTGAATTTGGTGATGTAAATGGGGAATTGCTATTTGAGGAAATTTGAGATATGGTGTCCATGAATGCCATGACCATCACAAATGAAAAAGAAGTGCATATATGATTTATTTCCGATATTGGGAAACACTATGAAGGAATCCTAATTCTATTTATTTGGATTCCCTATTTACATTCCTTGTCTTGTTCTCACTGCAAATTTTAGGATATACTCAAAATTGGAGTCCAAACCATATTTCTCAATCTGCAGGGTGTTTTTCTGGGTGATAGGAGGAGAATGATGTTACTACTTTTTGATGGATCTAGCTGAATTCTTTTCATGTAAACTGAAGAGTGGTTTTCTGAGAGTCACAGGCGAAAACGAGTTTTAATATGGATTCACCTTAAATTATGGATTGACATGGTTTGTCAATTTTAATGGCAAGAGTTGTTGTTTGTATTTATTATTTAATTATTTCATAATTTATTAATTCAGACATCAAATCCAAAGTACCCCAATATGTATTGGTTTTTCTCTCCTACATTGACTCTGCCATCAACCCTGTATTGAGTACCAAATTAATCCAATGATTTCCATCTTATCTTGCCATCCATTTCTGTATGCCAACTTTGGCATACTAAGAATCCTGATGCCAAAGTCCTGATCGTTTTTTCACCTGAGTCTTCATTTAAACTTGAACCATCTTCTATAAGACATAGGAACTCAGGAATTTTCAAATCATCCTTGGAATTCTCTTTATTTATAAGGGATCTTAAAATATTACTCCCCCTATTCTAGTTACTATGGCTATTACATTTCAATGCCATGACAACAGGACCCTTATTTATAATGTGATCTTGTATGTCTTATGCTGATGTAAATTATATAAGATCCTTAGCTCTCTCAACTCTGATTTCTAGAAACTCAAATCATCACAACTGTTTGGACATTTGCTCTTTAGTTTGAAATTCATAGTCTGCTTATATGAAAGACATTTATTGGTACTAAGACCATTCTCTGTCAAAAGCTTGTTAATTAGCAGGTTAAGGGGATACTTCTTAATACTATTAACAATCCTCAAAGATTTGGGAGTGAAAGAACATTTGTCTTCATCCCATTTGGTACATTGTAACACTCTGCTGAAAGACAAGTTTACTTGGATTTTTATCTGAGACAATTAGTCAAGCAAAGGGTTTAGATGAAGATGTGAGCCCGATTACCTCCTTGGCATAGAATGGATTGAATACTTCAAGGAACACTGTATAATCGTAATCTTCTATCTGAATTATGAGACAAGAGTGCTTCAAATCTATAAGTCACATTATATTCGTTTGAGCGATATGCGAGGAAACTAGGAGTCTATTCTAGACTAACAAGTGGTACATGCAGGAGGACACAACTAATTTTGACTATTGTGAGTGCAGTATATCTATTCATTATATAATAATATTGAGACTGTTAATTATTTTAAATTCCAATGAAGCATAGAGCAGCTGCGAATAGTCTGAATCAGAAAGAGAATGAAAAATGCATAGGCAATCAATATTCATACAAGTCAAGACCTCCTTTGTAATAGGATTTACTGATGAGCTTAAAGAATTAACAACTCAGAAATCTTGATGCCATCAGTTAGATTCTATAATCCAAAATTTGTAAAGTTGAAAAACGTGATAATGTTGAATACTTCAAATTCGACTTCAAAAAATAACAGAATATCTGTGATAGAGTTAAGTTTCTTAGTAATTAACCTGACGATGATATCAATAAAACTGAGATTTTTAAAGCTCAGTATAAGGTTGGCAGTCGCATAGGCCAAGGAGCTTATGCCTCTGTCAGAGTGGCGATTTAAATTGAAACTGGCACTAAAGTGGCTATCAAAATATACGAGAAATCTAAAATACGCGATTTACAGCGTCGCAAAGGAGTGCGTAGAGAAATAGAAATTCTTGAAAAATTGGATCATCCAAATATTGTCAAGATCCTCGACACATTGGAATCCAATAATCACGTCAATATTATTATAGAATATGTGAGTGGGAGTTCACTCCACCATTTCATTCGAAAATAATAGGTATACTCTTTATATCAATATTATCAGGAACGCAGACTCGATGAAGACACTGCTAAAACTATATTTAAATAGATCCTTGATGCTGTCTAATATTGTCACTCCAAAAATATTGCCCACAGAGATCTCAAATTAGAAAACATTCTACTAGAAGGCTAAACGCCAAAACTCATAGATTTTGGCTTCTCCACAGCCTTTCCCATTGAAAAGAAAGTCAAAATGTTCTGTGGTACCCCTAGTTATATGGCTCCAGAAATCGTCACCAGGTAAGAGTATCGAGGTGATAAATCAGATGTTTGGGCCTTAGGAGTTGTCCTCTTCACTATGTTACAAGGAGTCTTCCCATTCAAAGGAGATACCGATGCAGAACTCTATTCTAAGATTCAATCAGGAGAATTCACTATCACTCATGACATTTCAAAGGAAGCCATCGCATTACTCTATGGAATGCTCACAACTGATCCTGATGAAAGACCCACTGTAATTGAATTACTCAATTATCCATGGTTTAAGAAAAATGATTTAAATGAAGAGAAAGATGACATCAAAAAGAAACATAAATTACCTGAAGATTTAATTGAAGATCTTAATACAATTACTAAAAATATGTCCTTCATTACCCCCACTAGTTAAATCAAATAATAATTTTGCTTTGATTTCTCACACCTAAAAAATTATTCCAAACCCAGCACCAATAAGGTATACATTTAATCTATCAATAGGCCATCATTCCTAAGCCTTCCTACTTTACTACTACCAATGCCTAAGCTAAATCAAGAGAACCCTAGTTTTTCAAAGTGGAAAAAATCTTAACTAAAAATGACAGGCACACTACAACTCATTCAAAGGAAAGACATCCTACTTTATCAAAAGAAAGATAATCCTCCTATAGTTTTGAATCTAGTAGAGGATTATCCCAGAAAAAGAATCCCCATCAGTTGACTGTCCATCCTAGTTTCATACCAAGTGAAAAGAGTTTTCACTCTTTCAAAAGTCCTTAAATGGCTATGAATGATAAACGTTTCAATTTTTTTTATAATTGACTTTTAATTGTGTAATAATGATTGTGTGAATGAATATTAAAAAAGCATTATAAAATAGATAAACAAATTAGATCATTCAGAAGTTATTTGATAACTCTCAGGCCACATAATACACTGATTTTAGCGGCCAGGAAATCCACATAAAAAATTCTATTTATATTGAGGATCTATACCTTTGTAAATATTGGTTCAATTGGAATGATATTGGAAGATGGTCCCCATTAAAAGATACTAGTAAAAGGACTATAGTATGAATAAAATGAAAAATGGTTGTCTCCTGGGGTATATTCTGGGGAAGTCTAATTTTTAATTTCTTGCCCCTGAGGGTATTGGAACTTAAATTTTTCTATTTTTATTTTATTTGTTGTAAAAATAGCTTTCTTTTGTATAATATTCTCGATTATTTTTGATTATCTTTTCAAGTTTTATGAGAGTTTAAGAGATCTCTTTTGTTTTATCTTCTTAAGCTTAACCTTCTCTGCCTATTTAGTAATCTTTTTCTTTAAATAAATATCGCTAGAATAATGAGATCAAATTACTTTTGCTTGCCAAGGTAGTTCATAACTAATTTAACTTATTCTATTGTTTAGTCATCAACTTTAACACCAACTTGAATATTTTTATTGTTTCGAATTAACTACTTAAACAGAACCTTCATCTCTTGCTCTATTTTTAAAATTTTATCATTTTCTTCCTCGACATGACAATATATGCTAGAAATTAATAGTGGCTGTATTCTGGCAATTATTATGGAGCCTATGTCATAAAAAACTAAATACTTTCGGTTGTTTAATATGCAGCTTTAATCAATCTACGAATGATTTTCTTAACATGAGCATAAAATTTGTTTTTTATGTCCTAATCAGTTCTTTTGTTCAACTATTCAGCAATATGTGTCTATGATTTGATAAAATAGGTACCCATTTATTGCCATGCACTTCTATTAAGTCAAATAGTTAATCTATTTCATTTTCAGTTAGATCAGCCTTGTTATAAGCACTATCCAGATGATTTGAAAACCTTTCTCTACATGCTTTCGTATTCCTATTAAATCCATTCTATTTTAAGTGTTATGAAATTATCTTCCAAGCAAGCCTTTCATTTTGGTATTTTTTCACCAATTTTCTTAAAAGCTGGTCTTCCTTTTTATAACTTTACAAAAATACTTCACTGGTCCAAGGATTTCGTTTCTATTTAATTTACAAAGGGAGTTACTTCACCATAAAAAATTATAAAATATATCTAATTTAAGAATTATTGTTTACATACTTGTACAGAAACTTTCGATTCTATCTAATGAATACCAAAGTAAGTAATTTCTTTATTTAATAAAACAATAAGTCATCTTCCTTAAAACTTACTAAAATTCAACATTATATTAAATTTCAATAATTGCAAAAAATGGAAGTTTCAAATATTTCTTTTAATAAATTTTTGAAAGAGAATATTGTGTAAAATCAACTTTCTCTTAAATTCTTGCTATAATAGGTATAGAGATGTACATCTAATTCATTAAAACAGTACTCTGATTACCATACAAATTTTGAATGTATTTGTAAGGAGAGTTTATGTAAATGATAATTTGAGTATACTTTCTTAAAACGTATTTGAATTCACTATTTATATTCTAATGATTACAAAATAAGCCAGGCAAGTTTATTATTTGAAAAGTTATTATAAAAATAAATAATTAGTTCTGATTTTTGGATTATTAATTTAATAAAGAATTTTATAAAACTCATTCATGGCAAATAGATGTTAATTTGAAAACTCCAATGATATTGGTGTTTTTTCTAAACTTACAAACGCATATTGTCTTGTTGCACTTGGAGGAAGTGAAAATTTCTACTCGGTGTTTGAATCTGAACTTGGATTAAGTATGCCAGTCATCCATTGTTCAATTGGAGGCACAAGAATTATCGGAAGATTGACTGCAGGTATCGTATATTATTTAAATGAAAACAGGAAATAAAAATGGATTATTGGTACCAAATACATGCACTGATTAAGAACTCAAGTAAATTAGAAATTCATTGCCAGATGAAGTTAAAGTAAATATGTAAATTAATATTATAGGTTAAAAGAGTTGAAGAGAAATTATCTGCTTTAGGTAATTGCGTGGCTTGTAATGACTATGTTGCTTTGATTCATTCTGACTTGGACAAAGAGACAGAGGAAATCATTGCTGATACTTTGGGAGTTGAAGTGTTCAGAACAACTGTGGCTTAGTAGGTTTTGGTTGGAACTTATTGTTGCTTTAATAATTAAGGAGGATTGGTGCATCCATTGACAACAGTAGAAGAATTAGATGAATTAGCCAATTTATTGCAAATACCATTGTGTGCTGGTACTGTGAACAGAGGTAGTGATATCATAGCATCTGGTCTTGTTGTTAATGACATTGCTGCTTTTTGTGGTACAAATTGAATTTAAACTTCATAGGTTTGGATACAACATCCACAGAAATCACAGTTATTGAAAAGATCTTCAAATTGTAAGATAAAAATAAGTAAAATATGGAAGTGTAAATTCGTTAAGATATGATGCAAGAGTTGGAATGATCGAATAATTATGTTGATTAATGTTATATATATATATCATTTATTATCAACATTATCTGTTGAATCCTAATCATTATTGATCATGCAATGATATTTATTGAATTCTGATCTGATGAACTCTACTTTTTGATTTAATTCACCATAATTTTCAGTTTCATCTTTTTTCATCTCAGCTTGAAAATTCTAAGCCTTATTACACAAAGCCAAAATATCCTACAGATACTATTATTAACTCTTTTTCTTCTAAATCCCAGATTTTTGATAAGCCTGTGGAGAACATTAAACTAATGGAAATAAAATAAAACTCTAATTTTATCTTTGTGGAGAGTTGATTTTACTTGTCTTATCTTAAGAATATGAATTTTTGTGCAGTTTGCTCTTTTGATGATTTGGTTATTCATCTTAAGGGATGCCGATTTTTTTATAATATTTTTTGAATCTCATATAGAAAGGATCCATTTTAATTCCAACTGGTTTTGGTGTAGTTTCTACAGGGGATTATTATGGAGATTTGATATCCTCAATTCTTAGGTCTATTGATTATCTTCTAGTTAAAAACTTAGTATTAGTTTTTTTTAGTTTTTGAGGATTTGGAAAGAGTTCACTTGAGGACTGTCTTAGAATATGAGATTCATTTGGTTTTCCCAAACTAATTCTGGATTTCTCTAAGATGTTCCTGCAATTTTTTGATAAAATGCTCCATTTTTCTTCTCTTATTTCATCCAACTATACTGGAGGCTCTAAATCTATCTTCTAGAAAGCATTTAAGTAAGTTAGTTATGGTTTAGTTTGAGGTTGGTGATAGTCAACTTTGTGAAGAGGAGCCTATAATTTCTCATCATTCTTGGTCTTCATCATATACTTAACAACTCCTGGAGCTAAATCAGCCTTGATTGTCTTTATTTTGATGTCTAATTTTTCCCTTCTTAACTAATGAATTTATCATAGATACTTATTCGGGACTTTTATGCATCTAAGAGTTATCAAAGTTTAATTACATTATTTTAATAATATATGTGTTAAATAATTAATGTTTATTTTCCATTTGGTCTCAGGGCAATCCAAGGTTCTTAAAGTATAAAACATGGTTTATTAATATACTCTTGTACATTGATATCTCAGAAAGAATGGATTAATTAATAAATCAACGACTTTACAATTTGGCCCTTTTGTGGAATATAATTTGGTATTTTTAAGTGAGATTGTGCTTACTTTTTGAATTCGGTTAGAGATGGTCTAGTAATTTATATTGAGAATGACTTTGTGTGGATACTTTGAATGTGGAAGGCCAAAATAATTATTATAATAATAAAATTTCCTATTAATTTCCGATGGAAATGCAGAATCTATATTAATCAGTAATCAAGAAAAAATTATTAATTTTATATTAATTTGAGATATTTAAACAAAAATTATAATTCGATGCATTTTAAAAAATATAGACATCGATAAAGATTGAATAATGAAGAAATAAATTTGGATTAAGATTTGGTATGATGTTATGAGGTAGATTATTTTGTGGTATCCTGATTTGGAGTGCACGTTGACATTTTGGGAATAGTGTAGACAATGTGCAATATTCCATTTACAATAAATTAAATTAAGATTTTAGCAGATTATAATAAATAAATTCATACGTAGTTAGTATAGGGAATTTAAAATAATAATATACAGGTAAATGAACATTTCTGAGGCTAGAACAGTTGGTTAATCGCCACCTCAAAAATTCTCGAAGTTAAACCAATCTTAATAATTAATTCCTGAAGAATGTCTCCCTCCAACTCTTCAGAGTCTCAATCTTTCTCCTAGAAGGGATGTTTATAAAAAAGGAATCAAGAAAACATATAAAATGAAAGTAACCCTTATTACTAACTCACAATTTAGGATAATGAGAGGAAGAAGATGGTATGGTGTAATATATATGTGAATGAAATGGATCCAATCTAATTGGCTAGGTCAAAAAAAGGAAGTATGAAAATTTTAATACTTGTTTAGAGTAGTGTCGTATTTGCTCGATGGAGGAAGAAACATCAAAATTCGTATATCCATGTATGTGTAGTGGAACAGCAAAATATGTGCACGAGGAGTGCCTCAAAAATTGGATTCTTTTAAAGAATGGAGTTGAAAAGGTTTATAAAAATGATGTAAGCAAATTATTTATATAATGTATCAGATTAAATGTGAAGTTTGCTAACATAAGATATCTATGAAGGTTCACTTTCAAGAGGAAGTACACCCATCGATATTTTAAGAGGTGCCTAAGCATTAAAAAGCCTGTTGGCTTATATTAATCTTTATAATTTTATTATAGATAGCTGGAGCTGTTATATTGGGAGTCTTGGTTGGCTTTTCCAATGTCGGTTTAGCTGCAGCTATTACTTTATTGGGGGTTATTTCAATCGTGTTAATAATTTATCTTGTTGCGAAGGTTATGCACAGTTTAACAGTTGAAACTATTGTTTAATGGGTGTTTCAAAATTACCAAAAAGAATATAGTCCCGAAAAGATTGGAACTATTATCAACATCCCCCCATAATCTGTATTAAATACAAGTCCAAGGAGTCCCAGACAAAGAAGAAAATCCTGTGTGCCACAATTCTCTGGGCTTTAAATAATATAATTTGACTAATATCCCTCAGATGCTTGAACATCTGACATACGACTATTTAAACTATATAAATATGTACTCATCATTTTATAATAATATCCAAGATATTCTATATTGTCTAACTTCATTTTTGCATTAAAAATTTTGTCGGAATTATAATATATTTGTGAACGAATATTATTATACACAATTGTTAATCATTTAATAAGTCTTCATCTACCATCATTTATTAATCATTCTTTTAATTATTAGGAGTACTTCTGATCCCTATCATTCATACTCTTCTTATGACACTTATCATTCTTCTGTTCAAATGATTAGAAATCTATTCCCATTCAATTTGTGCCTTGAAAAAATGCTAAATCACTTTGCAATTCTCAAAATTCCAATAATAGGTTGGCAACTTCAATTTTTAATTAGAAATATTGATTAATTTGGAGCAATTATTTGAATATTTCAAGATGGTTGACTCCATCAAATCTTACATCATCTAATTAATAAAATTCATATAATTCAGAAGATGAAAATTTTGAGAATGATCATTGTAAAGTGAACAACAACATGAGAAGTATTTTATTCTGGTCAAACATAATTGGATAAAGAATTATAAATTAATAAAATTAAAGTGTGGATTTTAATTGATCTTTATTTAATTTTGATGAATATTATATGTCATTCGATATATTCATCATCTGCAACAACTACTTTATAATATACAAAACTGCTTGCTACTAAGGATATTCAACTCAATTGTTAGACTTACTTATTCATTTTATATTAAATAAGTCAGAATTAATTTGAATTATTAAGGAAATAAATAATTAAAAATTATAAATATTTAAAACACAACTAAAAAGAAATTAATGGCGAGTGACCTCAAAACTTATTTCCTAAAACTTTCCTTCAAAAATTAATTGTATCTATTTATGTAATTAAAAAACTATTATTTAGGATTTCAGCGACTATTATAATTAGCAATAGTGAATTCTTTTAAGGAAAGAAAATACTTTAATTTTAAAGAAATATCAACATAAAAAGTAATCTGGATAAGATAGATGTAAATCAAAAAAGATCGAAATTGTCAGAGTTGAGGAAAATATAGGAATCAAATAATTCAAAGATAGAGTAAATTCTTAGCGGAAGAAATCATAAAGAAAATAATTCAGACTTCTGAATAGAGGGATATTATTTCTTAAGGACTGAGATACAGATTAAATAGATATAATTATTTAAAAAATTGTACTACTTGTAATTTAAAAGTGTAATATCCNATCTGTATTAAATACAAGTCCAAGGAGTCCCAGACAAAGAAGAAAATCCTGTGTGCCACAATTCTCTGGGCTTTAAATAATATAATTTGACTAATATCCCTCAGATGCTTGAACATCTGACATACGACTATTTAAACTATATAAATATGTACTCATCATTTTATAATAATATCCAAGATATTCTATATTGTCTAACTTCATTTTTGCATTAAAAATTTTGTCGGAATTATAATATATTTGTGAACGAATATTATTATACACAATTGTTAATCATTTAATAAGTCTTCATCTACCATCATTTATTAATCATTCTTTTAATTATTAGGAGTACTTCTGATCCCTATCATTCATACTCTTCTTATGACACTTATCATTCTTCTGTTCAAATGATTAGAAATCTATTCCCATTCAATTTGTGCCTTGAAAAAATGCTAAATCACTTTGCAATTCTCAAAATTCCAATAATAGGTTGGCAACTTCAATTTTTAATTAGAAATATTGATTAATTTGGAGCAATTATTTGAATATTTCAAGATGGTTGACTCCATCAAATCTTACATCATCTAATTAATAAAATTCATATAATTCAGAAGATGAAAATTTTGAGAATGATCATTGTAAAGTGAACAACAACATGAGAAGTATTTTATTCTGGTCAAACATAATTGGATAAAGAATTATAAATTAATAAAATTAAAGTGTGGATTTTAATTGATCTTTATTTAATTTTGATGAATATTATATGTCATTCGATATATTCATCATCTGCAACAACTACTTTATAATATACAAAACTGCTTGCTACTAAGGATATTCAACTCAATTGTTAGACTTACTTATTCATTTTATATTAAATAAGTCAGAATTAATTTGAATTATTAAGGAAATAAATAATTAAAAATTATAAATATTTAAAACACAACTAAAAAGAAATTAATGGCGAGTGACCTCAAAACTTATTTCCTAAAACTTTCCTTCAAAAATTAATTGTATCTATTTATGTAATTAAAAAACTATTATTTAGGATTTCAGCGACTATTATAATTAGCAATAGTGAATTCTTTTAAGGAAAGAAAATACTTTAATTTTAAAGAAATATCAACATAAAAAGTAATCTGGATAAGATAGATGTAAATCAAAAAAGATCGAAATTGTCAGAGTTGAGGAAAATATAGGAATCAAATAATTCAAAGATAGAGTAAATTCTTAGCGGAAGAAATCATAAAGAAAATAATTCAGACTTCTGAATAGAGGGATATTATTTCTTAAGGACTGAGATACAGATTAAATAGATATAATTATTTAAAAAATTGTACTACTTGTAATTTAAAAGTGTAATATCCTGCATTTAATAATAGTACAAAGAAAATGACTTTAATTATTTGAATACTTGTCATAAAAATCATCCAGAAATCTCAAACCAGCCCAAAATATAACAAACTATATACAAGACTAGTGTTAATATTTAATCAAAGAACCTCAACTCACCATAGTCAAATAGAAATTAAAATTTTTATTCAAATCGTTCCCAAACATAACCTTAGAAGATATAATTCAAAAGTTTATTTCTGATTTTGTGACTAAACATTAGCAGAATCAAAATCTTTTAAGAATTCCTTGATGCTTTAATTTAAATATTAGATTATTACAATGAATAATATGAGTGATAATTTTTATTAGGTGATTCATAAAAAATTTGAGCATTATTGATTTAGATTATTTGAAGAAAGATCTTGATTTACTGTTTGAATACACAAGCAGTTAAGATTAACCTTAGAGTGCAAATAAACCATTCAACAAGAACAAGGGATGTTAATAATTGAATAAAATTATTTTTGAATTTTTGTATAAAACAGAAGCAAAAGAATAAATCACCAAAAGGTCCACTCAAAAATTAATTTAATAATACAAATTTAGGCCTTAAGTGATGAGAAAGATTACATTTTTACTGATTCGCCTATAGTAATCAACATATTAGTTATTATTATTGGATTCTTGTTAAATGATTAAGATATCATCGCATTAAAGAAATTATTTAGAAACCTGAAGTGGAAATCCAAGATTTAGATGAATTCTTGAGAACTTTGATTATTTGTATTAGTTGAACATATGTTTTTTGCATAAATATTTAGATTACCTATCAAATTGAATTATAGTTAATCAAAGATAAATCATATATATAATTCATTATGGTTTTTTTATGTTCTTGCTCTTTGGACCCATGGGAGTGAAATGGTTGGTGGAGCCTCTCCTATCAAGGAAGTTCTTGATCATTTCTGAACTAACTCTGGAGGACATTGAGCTGCCCACTCTATAAGGTGTAATGGAGCTCAATCTTCTTTTTAGCAATCTAACATTAAGTAAAAATAGTACTCTTATTATTATTTCTATTCATTCCTCTTCTTGACATTTAATTATTATGTTAGATTCTACCCTACTTTATCTCTTTAGGAACTCGGAGGAATCATATATGATCTATCCAATTACACTGGAGTTTCTCCTAATTCTCCCCAAGTCATCAAGGGAGTTTTCATATTTTGAGGAGCAGGGGAAAAGAGACCAAGCATATCATCATCTTCAAACCTTTGGGCTCCAACCAAATTTGGAGTGCTTCCATAGAATACATTAACACCCTATGCATTTAAGCATTCTTGAAGTTTTCTCTTTTGAAGCTTTTAGTCTATTTGATTGATTGCAAAATCTAAGGGTATATGATGATCAGAAAATCTTGTATTTTGAATTTCTACTTTTTGCAAATTCAAAGAGTTGTCGGTTTCTTTGAGTTCTTAGATTGCTGGTTGTAGTCTAAATAGCTTATATTCTTACCTTTCATTTCTGGGGTCCATTCTAAAATACAATGGATTCAAAGCCTTGTATTCATTTAATTGAATGTTGTTTTCTCTGTTGCCTTCAATCATATGCTATAATTTATCAGATTGAAGTGCGGCTTATTTAAGTTTATGCTATTCTTCCACTTAAAACATCCATGCATGCTTCTAATACCATTAGTCGTCACCCTTCTTGATAATTTGATTTAAGGTAACATTTTCATCAGAAGTGTAGGTGCTGAGGAATTTGCTCAATGACATATTTTCATCTGGATTTCTAATTTCTGATTATTTAAAAATACTACCCATCCTCATTTCTCATTTTGTCTAGTTTATATAATTCCGGGTAATAGTCTCTCTTGATTATGATTTCCAACCTCCGCAAGTATTCCTCCTCAGGTAACACATTCCCTTCTACTCTCTGTATGGGTTTAGGCACAGGAAACTCATCATTCATTTTTAATTTATATATATAGTATAATAATTATGGTTCACCTAAAGTAACTACGAAAATTTAATTCATCAGACACTTCCATGCTCAAATTTCTTTTTAAGAATGGCTCGTAATTCTCTTTCCCAATCCTACTCTAACCACTCTTCTCATGAGAACAAATGTGTTTCAAAGGCTCCTTAACTTATTAACTACTTCCCTATAATTCTATATAAGATGGACTGCTCATGTTTAGTTAAGATTAAAAGTAACTCTAAAAGGACTCAATTTCGCTTTTATTCTACTCTTCAGTCGTCTTGTTATCAGCAACATCCCAAAATAGAACGTTAACCGCAGAAGTATCAAATAGATACTTAGGATATTTAATTGGTTTTGAGGTTACTAATTTTAGTGTTTCAGCGTTATCCCCCTTTGATTTGATTTCCTTTCTTAGCTTCACTTTATATATGTTCTGCATTAAAATCTGGAGATTTTCAGTCATTTAATCTAAAGTATCTATGTTCAACAACATCATTTCATCCATTTCTATCATATTGTGATAACAAAGAGCTATTTTTTACAATTTATTTTTTTCATCTTATAAATCCTTACTTAATTACTTATACTTCCTCGTCTTTGCTTTTTAATTAGCGTATCTCTTTTTAGTTTAAACTACTGTCTCTTATTGTTTCTACTTTAAATCCATAACCTAATTTTCCAAACTTTATTTTTCTGATTTTAAAATGATGAACTCTTCCTATAATTCCTAATATTTTTTGATGGTTCCAAAAGAGTCTATTACATCTTGTTTGACTTCCATTTCCTTGGTTCCTTTATCAGGCACCCATAATACACCAACTCCATGATAATGCAAATGAGTCCATTAATAATTAAGTTCCTTATTAATCATAGCTTGAATATGATCAGAAGCTGTAAACTATTATCTAAATATCTTCCTTTATTCTTCTAGTTTCTCGATAATCTTCAACATCATCTCCTGTTACTGCTTATCATCTACTCTAGCTCTTTGTAGTTCATTAATTTTAATTTCGTAGTCCTTAATCACTCTATTGAGACTCTCGTCATTATCGAATCCAACAATGTTCTTAGACACATTATTTTCTATCTTTTTTGCATTTGTACCAAATCTCAAAGTGGATAATGTCTATTCAAATTAACTATAACATGGATTAACACATAGAATGATGGCAGTCCTTGAATTACCACCTAAAGAAGACCGCAATATTTTAGTAAGAGGTGAATTTCTGTAGGGAATATGTTGATCGCTAATATGATATCAATTGGATGATTACTTTTTATCCTAGGCTCTCAAAGAAATGACTTAGGTTAAAAAGAATAGACTCTTGTTAATATGTTTAGATTCGTTTTATCTATCCTTGTATTGGGTTCCTCCATTTCCACCAGCTGATGTGCCTCTCTTCTTAAGCATTGAATCATGGATATTGATCTTTTCTGATCCTGCCAAATCGACAAAATTGAGAATTGACTCTGTAATTACTGAATTAGGTCCAATATAATTGGGAACACACCTCACATACAATCTAAAAATAGTGTGCGATCGACTGCTGCAATGGTTCATTACTGTTGAAGCATAATGTCTGTTGCTTTCTCCAAATTGGAGGATGTCCATGATTTCATTTATGTTGGTCACGACTTCTTCGATTGCTCCTTTGATTACAAACTCTTTATTGTAATCCTCGTTTATCAATAAGGTTTCACTCAGTCTTTCTTGAGTAGCCAATAAGTCATAGACTTAGTCAGTATAAATTTCAACATAACTACACCTTAAGAAATATTGTCTATCAGATTGCTTTGCTATTTCTCCAAACAAATCCTTCAATCCTTGTTTTAGAATGCCTTCTTCCTATTCATAACCCATCATAGTGTATGTTTTACCACTCCCAGTCTAACCATACATGAATACGGTGCCATTAATGCCTTGCAAAGATGATAGAGTAATCCTCTAAATTTATTATTAATAAATAAATTTGGTGGTGTGTTTGGAATCAAAACACTAGTCTATTCATTATTGATTAAAAAGACTATACTAAATGTAAATTCCACTCTCTATCCAGGGACGAACTTCCTCATTCTTACTAAATCATTGAATCTATCATTCGAAATTGTAATAGTGTCTTGGTTCTGAACCGACCAGATTTCCAAATCATTATTGTCTCTTTCAGCCCCATTGGAAGGCCTGATTCGGACCACAACTTGGATGTTCTCCATTTATTTTAAATTAAATTATTAACAGATAAATTTACGCTGAAATGAATTATTATATATTGATATTAATATTTCTGATAATTCATTAATCAAAAGACCTCTTCTCTGATTTAAAGGAATTCGGAGGCAGCACTCACCTTCTAAGTAAGGACTTCTTATAATCTTTCGACGACTTCCAATTATTATTCTCTTTCAAATGTTTAGGCTTCGTATTAAGCTTCTTATTCGGCAGCCCATCTCTCTTAAATAGCCAATGAATCCTCAGCATCTTCAAGGAATAACTATTAGAGATTAATCTTAATTCTTACAGTTTAGTCTTCCAAATCTTCAACAGCCTCTTGGATGGTGACTTTGAATTGAACAATTGAGTTCTCTAAGAAAGCTTTTCTCTCAACTAATCTCTTGTGTTCCTCTTACAAGTGACCACTTTAGACTTCCCAATTGGCAGCTTATTTCTCTTCTGTTGCAAGGAGTGAAGCTCTGCTGGCAACCAATTGTTATCTGATTTGAGCCAAGAGTTCCAAAATCTTGATGATGCTCTTGTTGTCGACCTTTGAGGCTAATTGTGTCAAGGCGTTGATGAGTGGCTATTCATCTAGTTAGATGTAATACCTTGAAGAGAGCATGTTTGCTTTCCATCAATTTGGCTTAGACTTTCTCGAATCTGCTCTTGAGTTGAGCGAATGCAACACCTGCTTACAAATGTTAAACGATCTTTGAGGCTTCGTCAATGGCATCGATTTAATCAACATGTTCAGCATCCTTTCTAACCCATGTTTCGTGTTGTGAATTTCTAGTAGCTTATTCATCAGCAAAGCTCTTTTCGTTATTGGCAATATCGGATGTGACAACTCTGACTTCTACTTCAGCTTCACCCAAAGCCTCAGTGGTGGAGTCTCTCAAATTAGAAAGAGCAACAATCTAAGTTTAATGATAAGCGATCTCTTATTCTAAGTCAGCGATGATCTATTCAAATTTATACGAGTTTCAATACCTTTTCAAAGGCAACTGTGTCACTTTCGTGAACCTTGTCGGCTTTCTTTTAATCTCCATTGAGTTGTGAAGCAATGTTGTTCAAGAGGATTTAGATTTCTCCGACTGGGCCTCCTGTTGCCAATTGAAGTTGAAGGACTGACAATATTGAGTTTCCAAATGAATCCTTATTGATTTAAGCCAAAACTTCTTTTGGACTCTCGCTTCTTGTTACTCTTGCAGTAGCGACTGCCAAGATAAGTGCCAATACAGGAATGATTCTTGCCATATTAAAATTAATAATGAAATATAATCAAATCAGACACAGAAGAGACATTAAAAAAAAAACCCGTTTTTCAATTATTTGTTAAAAACATAAAAATAAACATTTTTTATTATTATGTTTTTGTTATATTTAATCATTCTACTTATTAACATTTTTAATACCATAAACGTATTCTCACTCCAATACGTCTTCTCACCAACATATAGAAAATTTACTAATACAAAATTATTACTTATTAATAATTATAAATTTTCAACTATAAACAATTTTAGATAAATAATATGAATTTTTAGTAAATCTTACGCAAGAATATAAAACATTAGAATTCAGCCTTCTTTTTTCTAATTTCGAGGAAAATCTCATTCGGATGTTTTACATGCTCCAGATTAGTTATTGGAAGCACCTAATGAGTGGAGTATATGAGTGAATGGGATTTGACGAATATGATATTGGGTTGATGGTTTTTTATTAGATTCGGGTTATGAAAATTGGAGTTAGGGATTAACAATAGAAAATGGGTTGTTAAGAAATAATTTATTTATCTTTTATTACTAATCTATATAATGAATAATTCAGGAGATGATATTTAATTACTAAAAAAAACTATTAATGAGAAAGACTAACAGATAGGTGACCTCGAAAAAAAATTGAGATTAGAGTAATTTAGAGTGAAAAAGCAATAGAACGAACTAAATGCAAAAATAGAAAATGAGAAATCCACTGCCCAAAATAACGCTGATTAAATCAATCGTTTTGAGTCACAGATAAGTGATCTCAAATCTAAGGTAGCTATGAAATTCATATTTAAGTTAAGCGAAACCGAAAAAAAAAATTTGTAATTAATAGAGGAAATAAGTGCCCTGAAGAAAAGAAGAGCATCAGGTTCCACAGACGAAGATTTTCAACCGAAGAAAGAACATCAAGGAGATTTTCCCTCTCTCCAATAGATTCTAGGAATAATACAAGCAAATCAAGGCAATTACCAACCTGAACTTACTAAATTGTATGAATGCTACACTGAGGCTTGCCAAAGTAAAGACGAACAAATCAATTCCCTAAAGGAAGAAATTAAGGATCTTACTCAATAACTAGATACTAAAGTATGCATATTGGTAATTAATGTTGTAGTAATGTGATTCAACAAAATAACTGGAACAACTAGAAGAGCGAATTAAATAATTAAAATAGAGTCTTGAAGAGAGAGAGAATGAATTGAAGAATGTTGTTCAATAGACAAGTGATAACAGTGATCAGAAGATTTAAGAATTAGAAAAATAATATCAAACTTAATTAAGCGAAAAAGATAAATAATTATAAGAAACTACTAAGAAAGCCAAGTTTGATGTTTTCAAGTTAAATAAACAACTTACTGAATAAAAGACAGCGGTAGAGAGTGAGCAAGCCAAGACTAACTTACTTCAACAACAAATTGATAGACAAGAGAGTTCTTTGAGAGAATTCGAAATCAAGGTATATTAAATAATTAAATAATTATAGCTTTCTGAATTAGAATAAAAGAATTTACTCCTGATTGAAGAAGCTAAGCAAAAGTAATAAGAAATTGAGAGACTGAATGAGGAAAGTCTCACTAGAGTCTAGGTTGAAGAGATTCCTTAGGACAAACCATCATATGAGGAATTGGTTGAGTTGATTTAGAAATTTTAAGTTAATGAGATTACTTATCAGTAAGAACTGAAGAATTTCGAGGAGGAGTTGAACTTGAAAAATACTCATTCTTTTGGATTATAGGAGGAACTGAATCTATATATTGAAAAATTCTAGTTGCAAGATAGAAAAGTAATTTGATTTGCTTAATTTTTAGTATTAAGAGAGCATGAGAGCAATTAAGGCTTTGGAAGAATAGTAAGTTAATGAAAGATAAGTTGCCTAAGAATTGTAACATTATGTTGAATAATTAAAATAAGAGAAAGAACACTAATAAGCAGAATTCATAAATAAAATTAAAGAATTGAGTGAGCACAATACTAATGTTGATGATGCTGTTAATGATGTGGAATAGAAGTATCAAAAAATGATGATGATTCAAGAAGAGCAATATCAAAGAAGAGAGTAGGAATTGATTCATTAAATTGAATAGTCAGAAGAAAAATTGAGTTAACAAGAATAATTATTAAAGAAGTAGGAACAAAAGTATAAAAATGAAATTAAATAATCAGAAGAAAATAACAATCAAATTATTTAATAGAAATAACTGTAGATTAGTTAGCTACAAAAATAACTATCGGATGAAACACATAAGATTAGAGAGGATAGTAATAAATAGATAAATGAACTTAAATAAGAAAACTATAAAAAAGAGAAATCACTTGAATAAAAGATCTAAGAAGTTACAAAGTAATATGAAGGCGAACTTAGTAAGATTAGAAAGATGGAAATAGTGTTAAAGAAGAAGGAAAGAGAGATTACAGAAGAAAAAGAAGCAAAGAAGTTTGCTGAAGAATAATTATCAATTCTAACAGAAAAAAGTAATAAGATGATCGAATAATATGATAACAAAATCAAAGAAATTTAGATAGCGAATCAAGTAAACAAGCAAGATTAGCATAGAAATTCCATATTTGATTAGAGGATGTCTATTTCAAGTTCAGACATTAATAAAACATTCGAAATTGAAGTCTTGAAGGCTCAAATAGAATAACTACAATCTAAAGGAGATATAGAATTATAGGCTGAAATAAATAGATTAAATGAAAGAGAAAGAGCATTAAAGAAAGAACTGCTTGATTTATAAAATGAAATAGGAAATGAGAGACTCAACTTCATGGTAGTTTAAAGATAGTTGGAAAAAGAAGTAGAAAGCTTACATTAAGAAATTAGCAATCTCAAATAAGATCATCAAAGTGAGTTAGATGAAATTAATAAGGAAAGTAATAGAAATTTGTCATCCTAAAAAAGTGATCTCTAAATCAAAATTAATAAATTGGAATAAAAGTTGGAACAACAAATGACTTAGTTTACAAAGAAGTAAAATGACATTGAAGAAGAGAAAGAAAATATTATTTAATAATTAAAGAGTATAATATATTCATCTATATATCTTAGATAAGATTAAATAACTCGAAGAGCAAATTATTGAGCTGAAAGATAAGAAAACCACTAAGAGCAATACTCAACAAGCCATAACCCAAGATGATACCATATAGCTTTAGTAAGAGATTGTCTCATTGAATGAAAAGGAAAGAGTATTAAGGAAGGAATTATTGGATTTGCAAAATGAAATAGGGAATTTGAAATTGGGTCACACTATAAAAATCAGAGAGTAGGAAACTTTGATTGAGTAGTATAAATAAGAGGCCAATCATGCTCAATAAGAATAGGATTATGCGGAATAAATGGCAGCCAAACTTAGTGTGTAATATGCAGAATTGGCTATGGAATATGAAAATGCAGTACTACAAAACAGAACTTATCGGAAATCAATATCTAAACTTAAGTAATGATATACATTTTATTATCATTATAATGAATTATATACTATGAGTATAAATAATGATGAGTGATCTTTTCTATTGATTTTAAGAATTGATGAGGATATATCTAACTGTAAAGTACTTTAACAAAGGTTCTGTAATATTTTTCATTTTTATAATAATATGAAATCCAAAAATATAAACAACGATAGTTCAAGCGAGGATGATGCTAAGGTTTATGAGACTCTAACGAAACTACCTCCAGCCAATGAATTGATGCCACGGAAATTGACAATTGATATTGATGTGAAATCCTTATTTCCTTTAAAGTGAGAATTTTATTTTTCGAAAAGTCAAGACCTTTGCCTTAATTCAATCAGTTTTATTCCACCTTCATTGAAGAAACATAGACAACACAACAATCTGTAGAAACAACGTAGCAGGAGGACAGAACATTGCTTGAATATTTCGATGAGAATAAGTAACACTTAATTTACAAACGATTTGATTAACTTGATCTATCCAAACGGAGTCCAAATGAGAGAACTTATTTTTCAACTCTATTTGCTAATTTCAAGAAGTTCATTTAGCATATCATTTAATAGATCATATCCATAAGTGTATTTTCGAGGAGATCCCCTATTTGATTAGAAGCTAATTCCATGTCAAACCGATTAATTGAAGTTTGATTCAAATTTCGAATCTGGAAATTTGTTTTGCGCCTTCAAAAGAGCTAAAGATGTCTATGATCTAATACTCCAGAACGATATCAACACTAGAGGCAATACATAATGGTTTTTTTTTAGTGTAACTGGAGCCAAAGCTGGTCAAACAGTTTAATTTAATTTACTCAATCATGTATTATAAATTAGTAGTACTAGCTCAAAAGCAGCAGTTTATTTAATGAAGGATTGCAACCAGCCATCTATTCAATCAAAGAGAACGAAATCAATAAGAATGAATGGACTCGAGGTGGATTCAACATCAGTTATTTCAAGAGTCCCTTTATTAAAGAATACCCGTAAGCCATGAGAGCCAAATATTACTAATTGCGATTCAGTTACACTTTCAAACACGATAATGATAAGGTTTATTTTGCCCATTCCTATCCATATACCTACACTAACCTCCTAGAATTTTTGAACTCAATTCTAGAGAACCCTGAAAAAAATCAATATATGTCCAGGAAATCATTATGTACAACCTTGGGAGGGAACACATGCGAAGTACTGACAATAACATCCAATTCAATTCAACGGAGAGCATATAGAAAGGGAGTAGTCTTTTTGGCCAGACAACACCCAGGAGAACCTCAGGGATCATATGTAATGTAGGGGATTATAGAGTACTTGACTTCGAACAATCCTTAAGTAGAATATTTGAGATAGAATTGCATCTTTAAAATATTCCCCATGATGAATAGCGATGGAGTGGTAAATGGAAATTACAGATGTGGTTTGGAAGGTGGCGATTTGAATAGAAGGTGGAAAAAACCGAACAAGTATTTGCACCCTACTGTTTATTATGCAAAGAAATACATTAAAGGATTTAGTAAGGAAAGGCAAATCATTTTAGTGATTGATTTACATGGACATTCAAGAAAGCAATCATCATTTGTTTATGGATGTGCTTACTCATCTTAAGTCAAGACTATAGAGAGGGTATTCGCCTTACTTATGGCTAAAATGAATCCTTTCATGGACTATTCATCTTGCACTTTTAAGGTTGAGAGTTCAAAGGATAAGACTGCAAGAATTCAGATCTGGAGAGAATTGAAAATCAATTGGGTATACACTTATGAATGCAGTTTCTTTGGACAATAAAAGAAACATTTCTAAATCAGAGATTATATCAACTGTGGAGTAAGCATCTGTAACTCCTTATCTTAAATTGTAAAAGACACATCCAAAGAATTCACAAATTAAGCCAATATTCCAGATATTTAGTAATAAATCCTAGAAGAATTGGGCAAGATGCCTTAGACTGATGATCAAGATCAAGGGTCAGATAATAGTTAATCTGATGCTGAATTGTCCGATGATGAAATTGTACAATTGTTTTAACCTAAAACATATTCTTTGAAATAGAAGAACTTTATAAAATAACTAGATACAAAAAAGAAACAGATCACTACTAAACAAACTTTAGTTACTCAAAAAAACAGTATATTATAGGAATCACCATCCAAAAACTAGTAATAACATTAAGATAATAAACTTCCTACAAGCAACTTAAAACCTAAAAATGTTACGTAAAGAATTCCATTACATGTGAAACTACGATAGATTGAACCAGTTAGAGAATAATAGTAGCCAATCAAGGTTGATAAGAGTTGCTAAACTGATGATTGGATGTATAGGTAATGGTTGATTCAAATTGGAAAACAGAAAAAAAAAGAAGAATATCAAAGCTAAACTCCTACAAGAAACATCTAAAAGTCTTCATCACAATCAGCCACAAGGTTCATTGTTAAAAACACATCTAAACCTGATCGAGGACGAATTGATTCTATTTCCTTAGTTAATTCTGGAATATAAAAAAGTATTAAATATATAAAATATCATTAGCTTCATTTAGTTAACAAAGGTAGATTATGAGATATTCAGGAAGCAACTTTATGTACTGATCTATGTTCAATTTTGTTTTTAAAATTAATTCATTAACTCTAAAGCTTGAGAATCAAATTCTCTATATTATCTTTGTAATAAAAGTAGATGATAGAAATTATGTATAGTAATAATATAATTTAAATCAATCTAATTGCAGATTCTTTAAGTTTACTTCAGCCCTAGTATGTTTTCTTGGAAATTTAGGTCTATCTTCAAGGATTTACTAAGAATTATATAATATTATACTTCTGATTAACCTTCCTCACCTAATTAAATAGGTCCATGTCCTTTTCTTACACCAAAAAGTGTCTCACCTCCTATCTTATGTTAGAGTTCTTAAATTCGTTTCGAAATCTTATATTTCGTCGTTTATTTTTCAGGATGATTTCCAGAAAACAAGGGTTTTGCCTTTTATTAACTTGGTTCCTAATAATCTATCACTGTAAAAATTGATTTGTTCAAAGTTGATTGCCTCAAATTTAAAATTTTCTTAGGCTTCTCTATCTCCAAAATCTCCCATTCATCATCGTATTCTTAATCTGCAAATTGCTGTTTAGCAGTATTTCCCATCTTTTGATTTTCTATAATTTTATTATATATTAAATAATGAAACCAATCTTTAAATTTAATCATATTTACATAAACACTATATAGTATTACCATATTCTTAACAATTCTTGTGTAGAATAATTTAGCAATCCAATTTAAAAACTTTGATTTCTTGAATATATTGGCATCTTTGGAACAAAAAATTAGGAAATGGACCTTTCCTTCTTCTTTATGAATCGTTCTTTGTTGAGTTATATAATATTCAACTATAAAATATACAATGATTATAGATTAAATATTGTCATGTAAAAAGGTCATGTCAATAAGTTTCTCATGGTCTTTTGGCTTGGTTTCTTACTGAATTTATTAATTTAGGTTAATTAGAACCTGGAAGTTTGATTGAAGGGGTCATCGGTGAATCTAAACCATCATTCTTATCCCACATCTCATAGGAAATGGATTTATTAGATCCATCAAGATTTTTTTGACTGAGTTCAATAGATCTTAACGACTTTCTCTCCATTGCTGATTGCATAAATTTATTGTTTAGGATATTGAAAGAACTCATAAACTTTAAAACAATTATTAAAAAATTAAATTATTTTGATATAACACCTACATCTACATCCTTTATATTATACATATGATTCAATTGATTCCTTTATTAATCTATAATATTATTATTACTTGATAAATAATAAATGAGAATTATATATGATAATATAATCTATTGTTTTTTTTTCTAAAATTCAAGCTTATTTTAGAATATAGAGAAGCTACTTTAATCATACAATCTTTATAAATATTAAGATAAATTTAACATACAATCAGCAACATCCTTTTTTATTTTCGACTTGTATCATTGAATTTGATTAGGAAAGATTTACTATTTAATTTGAAAAGGAAAGATTTAATTGATTCATTTCAATATTTTATTGTTGTTCTGATTCCTTTTACTTAAGAAATTGCTCCAAAACATAATTTATTGGATCTTCTAGAGGATTGTCATAGAAAGCTGACGTTTCATAGAATTAAAATTTTCGATCTTGAGCCATTTATTATCCTTCTCCTGAACTTACTTGTCTTCTACAGTTTAAATCAATTTTGTTTCCAATAAGTACATTTATTGCATCTCTTGGTGCTGATCGTTCGACTAAATTTATCAAATTAAATATTTCCTAAAAAGTAAAGTTTTATGAGATATCATATATTAAAAAAACACTGTTAGCCTTGATATAGAAATTTTAAACCTTAGGCATATAGATCTCCCAAAGGACTATTTTTATCTTTTTTCCCTAATATTCAACAATTTTATAGTTAACATCACACCCTAAGTTTGGCCTTGTTGAAATTATTTTTTAGAAACAGTATTTTTAAATGAGTGAACTCTTACCAGTTGCAGTATTTCCAGCCAAATAAATGTTTAATTTATGATCAAAATACTAAGTCTTTATATTTGACATCGGTACTATTTAATTTGATAAGGCAACATTATTTTATTTCTTTTAAATATTTTATTTTTATTTCGATTCCTTTTACTTAAGAAATTGTTCTAGAACATAATTTATTGGATCTTCTAGATTCCTGTTCCAGAAAGAAGACAATTCAAAGAATTCAAGGTCATTTTGTAAAGCGAATTATTTTCCTTTATCATAACTTACCTCCCTCTTATAGTTTAAATCTATTTTACTTCCAATCAGTACTTTTATTACATCAGGTGATGCTAATTATTCGACATCATTCAATAACCTAAACACTTCCTCAAAGGGTTTTTTGTTTGTAATTTCATAGATGAAAAAAATAGAGTTCGCTTTTCTAAAATAATTTTGACTTATTGATTGAAATTTCTCTAAACCTGCAGAATCCCAAAGTTATAGTTTAATCATTTTTCCCTAATATTCAACAAATTTCTATTTGTAATCCACTCCAACAGTTGATTATTAAGGACAATATTCTTATGTTACATATTTTAACAGGAGCGTAGTCTTTCCAGTTCCAATTTCACCAAGGAATAGAATTTTTATTTAATGTTGAAATTTCTCTTACTCTATTTTCTACATCTTTTAATAATTAAAGAAATTTTTTCTGAAATTTAATGATAGAAATAAATAGTAGTAGAATTTTATATAATTGCATTTAAAAGTTAAACATCAACATTAAATTCCTTTAAAATATAATATTATTACTACATGATAAATATTGAATGAGAATTTTATCAATTAATATAATTCCTTTGTATTATTAACTAAAAAATTTAAGTTTATTTTGAAATATATAAAAGCTACTTTAAGATTCATACAATCTTTATAAATATTTATGTAAATTTATTACAAAATCAGCATTTACAAGATTGATTTTAATTGATATTTTCAATTTATACTATTTAATTTGATAAGGCAAGATTGTTTTCAATAATTTAGTTTTATTCTGATTCCTTTTACTTAAGAAATTGTTCTAGAACATAATATATTGGATCTTCTAGATTCCTGTTTCCGAAAGCAGACAATTCAAAGAATTCAAGGTCATTTTCGAAAGCAAATTATTTTCCTTCATCAAAACTTACTTGTCTCTTATTAATTAAATCGCTTTTATTTCCAATGAGAACTTTGATTAAATCAGAAGGTGCTAATTAATTGGCTTCATTCATCCATTAATATACTCTCTCAAAAGATTGCTTGTTTGTGATATCATAGATGAAAAAAATAGAGTTCGCTTTTCTATAATAATTTTGACTTATTGATCGAAATGTCTCTTAACCTGCAGTATCCCAAAGTTATAGTTTAATCATTTTTCTCTAATATTCAACAAATTTATTGTGAAATTCAATCCCAATAGTTGGGGATAAATTTTATTAAAATTATTATTCTTTGTGTTTGATGAAGAGTGTAGTCTTACCAATTCCAGAATCACCAACCAATACAATTCTTAATAAATACTCAAATTCTATTTATTTTTCAGACATTTTTAATAATTAGAATATATAATATCTTAAAACACACTTTGAGAGCGTTAATGACAGAAATAAACAGTTTGTTGAATTTTGAAATAATTGCATTTAAAAATAAAACATCATTAATCTACTATTGATGGGATGATTATTAGTTAAAAATATATATATATCTAAATTTTAATAATTATCAATTCATTTAACTTGAAGCAAAATAAGCACTTAAGTTTCTCTATCTTTAAAATTAACTACTCTACCTTTTGCTTTGATTACTATCAAGATATTTTCTAAGTTATAATAATGATATACTGTTATTTAAGTCTATTGTGATCAACAAATATCCCTGGAACAATTCCAACATTTAAAGCTTCATTGTTGTAATAGTTTTAATTAATTTTCATTTCAATAGCACTCATTGATTAATCCCTTTTTTTTTTGGTTTATTGCTCTTCAATTTGCATTATCAAATCTTATCGATACTATTTTTACTTCTCTACCTTCTTATACAGATCATCTTAATCCTTTCTCTTATATTGCTCGTTGACAACTCCATAATACTCCAATTCCTATGATTTCTATTATTATTCTCGCTCTTTCCATTGTCGCTTGTACTCGATTTAATCCATGATAGAATTATAGGTTTCTTTGTTCTTCTTTTGTCTGATAGCTCTTTCTATAATTTATCTTTGCTCATCTTGTTGTCTCTTCTATTCAGCAGCCTCCTTTATTATCTTATTCTCCATTTCACTTTTTTCTCTTTCTTTTTGAATATAGATTTAATTATATCTCTCCAACAATCCTTCATTTTGATGATAGTTATGTTTTAATTTATTCAAGAACTAACATAAATAGTAAAGTAAATACATTTCGTCTTTATTCCTCATCATATTGTAGTTTATTGAGTTCTTCTTGCATGCTTTACTTTTCAAATAGCTTGGTTTTAACCTATTCAAATTTTTTCTTATCTTCCATGTCTTTATAGGATTAATTTAACTCATAAATAACTTTGTTTTTTTTATTTTATTTTTCAATTAGTTCTTCCTTAAAAATTTATTAATTTCTAAACATTTGTTCGCTAATCTATTGTTTTTCATTTAAACTCTATTGTTTTTAAAGCACCCTCTTAATTTCTTATTATTCCAAACTATATTTAGCGAATTCAGCCTCCTTTTATTTCAATTACTGCTATTTCTGAAATTATTCAATATCTTGCCTCTACAAACTTTGTTACACTTAATCTGTATATTGATTAGTATCAAAACTTTCTGAGTTCTTTTTTTTCCTTTCCTGCATAGCCGTTTGAAGTTCTTGTCTACATACGATTTCTATATTAAGTTACCTGTATTGCAATTTGCGTTGATAGTCCTCGTATTTTAGTAATTGTTATTGCTAATCTGACTGAGAATTTTGCTATTGAATTAATCTGCTCCATTCTCCTGTGGGATCTAAGAATTGTTAATATATATTATTACTATTATTGCAATATTTATTCATTAAATAAAATTATATTGTCAAATTTTGACTAATTAATTAGAATATATGATTGAAAGAAATTGGTAATTTATACACTAATAGATTTAAAAAAATGAATTATCATCTCATTCGGATGTCTTGAAATATTCGCTAAAGCTTGAATGTTTCCGAATGGACATGGTGAGTTCGTATGTCTAGATTTTAGATTCCAAGACTCTGTACTCTTCGCAGACTTTTTAATGAGAATCAAAGAGCAAATTATATTGTTCTCCAAACTCGAGAATTTTCATCTATTGTTCTTGGACCAACTATTTGAGTTGCTCATTTTCATAGGCAAATTTCTAATTGGCAAGAGCTTCACTCTTCAATTCGCAATTTTCATTTAGGAGCATCAGCATTCTTTTCTCTAATTATAAAATTTCAGGATAATTATTATTTAAACTCCTAGTTTAACTGAGTTCCAATTTATTGATTTCTATTCAGCTAATATAAAATATCTACTTTGTTCTAATTCATTGATGTAATCATATATGGTTGTACTGTCCTTCCTCTTCGATATAGTGCTGGATTGGTAATTTTTGAATTGATTTTCATTTTTTTGAAAGGGACTACATTTAACTCCTGAGTTGGCTTAAACCTTAACCAATCTCTCTGGCGTAGTGAAATTGCCTTGCGAAGTTCTCACAGTGTGAAAGGACTAACAAGGTGATCTGTGGACTTTCATAACTATTTATTAAATTATTCAAATTCCAAATAAGCAACCGATTATTATAAAATAAACTTAGATATATTATTGACATCAACTTAATGAATTTGACCGGAAATGTAAAGTATTAACGTGATTCTCATTCTGCACTTGGAAGTGATAGCAGTTTTGTGAGTATACACCAAAAAGAATTCAAGCGAAAAGATCACATAACATCTTTTGTGGGAAATAAGGATGCAAGTCGAAATAGAGAGAAGTTTAGGAATCATTCTATAAAACTAGCATCAGTTTCTTTGTTTAGTTGCATTCTAGAGCGTAGATTCGGTTTTGCTTGAAATTATAGTTATATCTTAGATTTTATGGATGATGAGTGTGGATACCAAAAGTTTGATCGATAAAGTAACTGATAAGTAAATACAAGAGGAAAAAAATGTAGGGTATAAGTAAAGATATTTTAACATTATAATATGAGGAATGGTAAATCATGATTTCATTTAGGTAAGATGAGATTTGCTTTTTATCACTCTAGCAACGATAGCCCAAGCATTTTGGAGGAACTCTTCAGTTCTGGCGATTTCTTCTCCCAACTTTCTTAATTCTTCCCTCTTCTTTTGTTCTTCGCAATTCTTCTTTCGGAACATTTATTTCCAAGAGCAGGGTTTCTTTGTAATTGATTTAGATGCAGAAGGCAAGCTCTTTTCTTAACTCATTATTTTTAATTTTTTAAGTAATTTAAACTATGTTAGTTCACCACTTAAAACGGATATAGCAAAAACGATCTCTCGTTTCTCTCATGATTGGATCGCAGAATTAATATATTCGAGGGGAAGAATCAAGTTGAAACCTGAATTAATGCCTAATCAACGATTAGCTAATTAGTAGATATTTGATTTTATTTGACAGCCGAGTACTACTAATTAATTTGTTTAATCAATTTTTATTATATATGTATAAATATATTAGTATATAACCAAATATTCATAAAATTAAATTATTACTTCAGGTAATATGAAAAAGTTCAGAGAATTAAAAAAGACCGGGGATGGAACATTTGGAGTTGTGATCAAGGCTGAAGACACGTAAAGTCATGATTTGGTGGCCATTAAAAAGATGAAATAGAAGTATCACAATTTTGAAGAATGCACTAACTTAAGAGAAGTTAAAGCTTTGATGAAACTTTAAAATCACCCAAACATTGTCAAGCTTAAAGAACGTATGATTTGATTCAAATTAGTGTTTCTGGACAATGACACTCTCTGTCTTGTCTTTGAGTTCGTAGACAAAAGCATCTATCAAATGTACATACAGCAAAAAGAGATGGTAACCAAATATAACATGAAGCATAGGGCAAAACCATCCCAGAAGATCAAATCAAATCCCTCATTTACCAAGTAGCCAATGGACTCAGTTACATGCATAAACATGGCTACTTTCATCGAGATCTCAAACCAGAAAATCTCTTGGTCTCCAACAACGGCGTTGTCAAAGTTATAGATCTTGGATGCGCAAGAGAAATCAGATCAAGACCACCATACACAGATTATATTGCTACCAGATGGTATAGGGTAAATTCTTTCAATTAATTCAATCCAAGGCTCCAGAGATTCTCTTGAAACAAGCCAATTACAATAGTCCAGTCGATATATTTGCTCTGGGTTGCATCATGGCTGAATTGTTTTTAAATCGACCTCTATTTCAAGGCAATTCGGAATTAGAATAGTTCAATAAGATCCTTTCCACTCTTGGGTAATTTCATTATTTAACTTCTTCCTTTAGTACTTTCACCTAATCCGAATGGCCAGAAGGATGTAGACTAGTCTCCTAAATGGGATTAGCATTGGCATAATTTTAACCTCTTTAATTACAATAGCTCATACCCAATGCCAGCACTGAAGCCTTGAATCTATTGACTCAAATGATTAGATGGGATCCCAATAAGAGAATCACTGCCACTCAAATGTTAACACACCCATTCTTCTACAACATTGAAAAAATTGCACCTCCCATCATTTTCGAAGAGCAAGTCAAATCTAAAGATGAATTGAAATTTCCAGAAATGGAAAAAAAACCCAAATCTTACAGTCAAAAAGAAGAACCTCAGAATCAATTCAAACAAAAATAATTTGTCCAATAATAACCAATAGAAGATGATAGCAATGATCTAGACGATATTTTGGATTTCATCACCACTGAAAATAAACCGCTGCCTTCCAAATAATCTACTTAATCTTCCAAAAGTTTAGAATACGGGGAATACGTTCCATCTATCCCTTAAAATAGATAACCGAGGAATTTGTAATCAAGCCAACTACAAGAATAATAAAAAAAGGACAATAATTCAATCTACGATTTTAGTCATTTGCAGAGTTTCAAACCTGCCAAAATGCCTAATACAAATTCTAAATATTGATCAGTGATTCTAGGTTTTTTGTTTAAGTTATTTGATGTTTCAATTTATAAAATTTACAAAATTTCACTTCATTTCTCCTTGTTTTAAAGGATTTCAATGCTTTTTCTTCCATCATTATTTTATATTAACTCTCTACATTCTATACAATATTCGATTAAGTATTTAGTTTTAATTTATTTATTAATTTAATTGATGACAATCAATAAATTTTGCCAATTCCCCATTCTAATTTCTTTGGGTATTTTTTATACTTTATTACATTTCAATTTACTTACAATATATTTTTTTTACATTCAATTATATAAGAAAGGTTAAACAAATAAACTATTAACAATTTTGAACTATTTAATAAATTATGAGGTACCATAGTATTCTAATTCATTTACTCATTATAGATATCTGGCTCTAGTCTATTTATTTCAACTTCTGGGATTCAACGATGAATATATTTAAAATCATCTTTTTAATTAAAAATGAAAGAAATATTAGCAGATAATTTGATTTTAAATACTTGCTGGATTTATGTGGATTGCAGTTAAAAGATTGTAGGATATATAATATTTAGTAAGTAAATTTATAATGATCAATTACTAAAAAAATATTATTTTAAGTATCTAGAAACATTGTGTTTTAAAATTGATACTTAAAAATCCTTGTCTTACAATCTTTATTTCAGACTCATTTAGAAAATAGTTTCATTTGTTAAGTAGTTTAATTTATCAATAATTTATGGATTTACTTATGATTTTGAATTAACACTTTCTATAAATTGCTTAATTTTACTGTAATTCTATCCCAATTCCTATTAACCATTTGACTTTGGGATTTCAAATTTTTGTTCTTACTAAATAAAAGAATTCTAATTGCTTTTTCCTTCTTCAACCTTTACTAATTCTTCCAATTTAGTTAATTACTAATGTTTTTTTAGTTCCTTTAACTTTTTTGTTTCTTACTTACCCAGACTGACACCGTCCATTTTTAATTTCGACTAAATTAATTATAAACTCATGTTGACTCCTCGCGCAATATTTTCTGGAGCCTTTTCATCGGAAGTATTCTCCTTCGAGATTGTCTATTATACATTGTAACAGCCAGTTTGCAGTTCTTCCAGTTGGGCTAAGATTTCTTATTAGAGTCTTCTTTTGAGTTATTTTTCTTCCTTTCTACTTAGATCTTTTTCTTCGGTATACATCTAAAATATTTTAATAAGTTTATTTTATATACTTTAGAATGTTTTATATTAATGTATTCTTCGTTCGATCGCCCCAAAGGATCTACTACAATTATTTTAAGGTGTGAGTCTATCTCTACTCTCTCTCTTCTGCTCGTCTTTTTCTCCCTTCTGCCTTCCTGCTCGTACGTTTGTAAAATTGCCTTGCAGGTGCACGCCTTCGTTTTAAACATTTCAGCCACCTATTCAGATAGAAAAATCCACTTACATTGCATAAAGACAACCTCTCGACTGTCAAGGCGTGGAGAATTTGAGATCGTGTTTCTTAAGAAATTTTTTGATAAGGTCTTTTTGGTTTACTCGCTTCAAAAGTCGATTAAACAGACTAATTTCTGAGTTGTTCAACTTGTTGTTCCATGGGGAATGGGAAATATAATATACTAATTATTTATTGGGAATCTTTTTTTCCAAACCATATAAATTATTTTTCTAATTTAGATTTGATGATTGTTAATAAATTATAATGTTTTATGGATTTATTTAAGAATTTAAAATTATTTATTTTTTCCCTTGAATTTATTATAATATTCAATTAGGTGGTAATGTTTATATAAACTCAAACACAAATGATAACAAAGATTTCAAATTTTTTTTTTTCTTCCTTATTCAAATTATTAAATTCTTAATTGATATTTCCACCATTTAATTAAATATGAGAATAATTTTTAAAATTCTCCATTTCAATTCAATATCAATTTTAACCCATATGAATAAAAATAGGAAGTAATTACGGGCTGTATATTTTATTTCTATTATTTTTCCAAAAACGCAATGCATAATAATGATATTTAAAATTTAATATTAGAAAAAGAGTTTAAAAATTAAAATTTATACTCAGTTGATTCTTCCCTTGATGTAACTGGAAGCACCTTCTAATTTGGTAGCCAAGATTTATTCAACCTATCTGATAATACTGATTTCAGTTGATCTTTATTCAGTATCTCTGGCATATAGAGATCTCCAATTATCACATTGAGCCTCCTTCATCTTCTTTCCGTTGGAAGCAGACTCTAATTCTCTTCCTGCATCAAACTTTCTCTTTTTAGCAGCAGCCAACATATGCTCAACCTAAACAACCTTGGTTTCAGCTTCAGCCTTAGCAGATTGAATGGCTTCTCTTTATTCTTCAATTTAGTAAATTTAAGCTTCGAAATTGAGTTAGGATTGGATCTCTTATTCTCTGTCATCAATTAAGGCTTATTCCAAGGAAGCTCTCAACTCTCCAATTTTGGCTTAAACGCTTTATAATTTTTCAGCTGAAAATGTTGAAGCTAACTAAACGAGAGCAAGGATGGGATTCTCTCCACCGACTCTTTCTAATTCAGCAAGTACAACTTCGGCATCAGCTTCAGGTTGGATGGCACTCAATTTGGCAGCAATAACGTCAAGAGCTTCAACTACCTTTGGTGTTTAAATTTCTCTTTCCTCATAGGCGGCATGATCTTCAGCTCTTTGTTCTCTCAATTATTCTTCTTATTAGTTGAGGATATTTAATTAAATAACTTAGTTCTCAATTTCTTATTCCAAAAGTTCGATCTCAGAAGTGTATTTATTAATATCCATAGTTGCTTCAGTGATTTCATTTGAAGCGAATTCAATTCTTCTATTGTATCCATAGATTTCAGCTTCGCAATCAGCCTCTTAAGCAACATGAACTAATTCAGCATCTTATTATTAAAGAACTAAATTCTCTCTTAAATCTTAAAGCATTTTAGCAATATCAGATAAAGGAGATTGGTTTTTCATTTGGAGGGCGATTGTGTCAAGAATCTTTTTTCCTAAAGGATTATCCTCAAGGTTCTCGAGCTAGGCAAATACTGCAGCATGTGGATTTGAAGCATGTTTAATCACAACTGCTTATGTAAATGCTATCAAAGCTAAACAAATTAAGAACTTCATTTTAATTAGTATTAATCAAAGAATATCGTTTTTGTCTTCAAAGCAATCTGTTAGTTTACTGTTTAAGTTTTTATTAATTTATTATATGGAACGGCTATTAAAATTACATTAATTCTATAAGTTTGTAAAGCGAATGATTTTTTTAACCTATTATTTAATAAGAATTAATTAATTACTAAAATAAATAAATAAATAAAATACTCGAAAAACAAATAGTTCAATAAAATTAATAATTAATATTTGATCAAAAACAACATTCGCAATCGAAAGGACATAAATTAGTATTACCCCCTTTTCCAATTTTTAAGTCTTCTGTGCTATACACCTTATACCCTTCTTCTGTGTATTTTGTTTTGCTTTGCTCTTACTTGGAGTTTTGGAATCTCTTGGCTTATGGATTTTTTGCAGTTTATGGGTTTTGAGTTGTTTTAGATTTTTCTGATTTTTTCTATTTTTGTTCCTGATTCCCTTATTCATTTTGGACTTAATCAGGTTTATTCACCTTCTGCTTGTCTTGTTTTTTTATAGGCTTAAAGATATCGTTGATGTCTTTATTGGAGATTGGCTTTTACTCTTTCTTTTTACCCATAAAATAATTTATAATTAATATTGGGGAAATATTGTATGTATTTATTATACAATTAATATGATTAAGCTCATCATTCTGCTTAGGCAGCTCCCTTTTGAACTGAGAAATATTTAACTTTGATGTCTTGTTCCTCTTAGACGGCAGCTTTAGTAGCATCGTTTAAGGCAGCAGAAACTTTGTTGAAAGCAGCTCTTGAGGCCTTCTTAAGTGCCTTATTCTAAGAGAAATATAGCGATTAATGAATACCTTCTTGATCTTCTTGGTTCCCTTGGTGTTGGCTTTGATGGCAGCAGTGGCAGCAGCTCTTTGTTTTTTAGCATATGGGTTCAATCTGTCCATAGCCTTGGTGTTCTTCAATGGGTTCTTCTTTTAGACTTCATGGAGGACTTTGGTTGTCTTGGCTGGTTGAACCTTCTCTTAGACTTAGTTGGAGTTGATGATTCTAGCCAAATCTGGGTTGGTGAGGAGTGGTCTCAACAATTGATATCCGTCCTTAAGAACTGAAGCATATCTGTATGTTCCGAACAATTTATCGAGGTGAGCAAAGGCGCTTTAAGTCCAAATGACGAATCTTCCCAATTGACCTCCTGGGGCAAGTTAGAGGAGATTTAATCTGGTGACATTGACGACTTCAACTCCTGGGACATCTAATGGATTTATCGATTAATTTGATTACTTCTGAAGGCTTTCAACAATTTGGCATTCTCGTTGAAGTAGACAACCAATGGTCCCTTTCTAACTCTGTATTTCTTTCCTCTTTATTTGCTGATTCCAGCTCTGACAACCTTGGTGGAGACAACTTTTTAGACATCTTCAAAAGCACCGAATCTCTTCAAGAAATTGAGAGCATCAGTAGTCTTTTCATATGATTCAATCTTGTCTTCAACAACAAGTGGGATTTATGGGACTTAACTGATTCTGTGACCTCTAGCCAATACCAATGGGACAATTCCTGTGGCGGCAACAGCTGTTGCGGCAGCATGTCTCTTTTATTTGATATTGACTCTTCTGTGCCATCTTCTCCATACTTTGATTGGTAAACTCATTCTTCCCTTTCTGCATTGGTTACCAAAGGCAGCTTGGCCAGATCTGTGAGTTCCTGATCCAGATACTCTTGGAATACGAGCTACGGCTCTACCAGTACCCCAGGATTCAGCACTGTGTTACATACCGGCTTATGGGTTGACAGCATGGGCTATAATAGAAGTTTATCAAAATTCAAATACCTTGTCTTCTGTTCTTAGCAATGTTAGTATGAACGAATGAGACGATATCTGGTCTAATTGGTGTTTAGAACACAGCTGGAAGTGGGATGTGTTTGGCTGTGACCTTGGTTGAGTCGTCGGCTGAAAAAACTGATACTAAAGGAACGGATGTCATTTCTTAAGATATTTTTTTAAATAAAAAATTTGGGTTTTTAAATTCTTGCCATTAATTAATATATGATAAAAGACTAATGTAAATACAATTCAAATATTCATTTGCTTTACATAACCAAGACATTAACAATTCTGTAAAGCAACTACTTATTAGGATACTTTCAATTCCTCTATGAATAAATAAATAGAATTGGATTCAAGAAACCCCTTAGTTTGATGAAATAGATATTACGCTTATTCCTTAATAATTATCTTTATTCATATTGTTAGTGTTTCATTAAAATTGAAGAAGGTAGAAATCTATCTTAATTTCTAGATTACAAACTAAACCATTATTATTTTTTGTTTATTTTCATTTATTAAAAATGAACATCATAATTAATCATTATGTTGGCTGCATGGCCCTGTAGGAAGTTTAAAAACCTCTATCTCCATCTTCTTCAAAATGATGCATTCTTAAATCCTTCTATAGTTATGGGTCCAATTTATTAGGAGGACCTTGTCTAGTGCCATATTCAGAATTGTGAGTATTGTATGTTCCTATCTAACTTCCGTAAACAAAATGCTATCTCCTTAAATCTTTGAGTTGATCTTCACTCAAAGCATTAGGTTATGGAGTGATTTGACTAGTTTTTGATGGATATTCAATGGGGTCAGTTCCTAATTAGAAATGATGTTATCTTAAATCTCTTATCTAATTTCTATCCAATTTAAATTAATCTACTTTTTCTGGTATTTAGTAACTAAAATATTATTATTAAATATTACTTTCTATTATTTTCAGTATTGTAATCTACTTATTCGTCCCCAAATTTGACAGCTGTGATTCTGGGATCTTTGACAAGTTCTGGTTTCTAAGTATTTGGATTAGCATAATTAGTAGCATAACTAGTTTGATAGTATCGATCATTCAAGAATCCATGAGTACCAATGGTTAATGAACTGGTTGGTAAGTTTGGTTATGATACGGCTATGGCTGTTTTTTAGAACATTGATTATTTTGTTGTTTAAGGCATTTCTGCTTTTTGATAGGCAAAGTCAAAATGAGCTGTTCTTAAATCTAATAAAACTTCTTTATTGACTCTAATGACTTCTTTATTCTACTATCCTTGGAAGGCATCTTTGTTCTGTGAACTCTTGACTGTGGGATCTTCACCCAAGACAAGATGAGACTCTTTTAGAAATTTCTCCAGATTTCCTTTGCTGTGGGCTTGGGGATTCTATTACCCATCATGATATCGAGCGTAATGAGTAGTGTAATCCATTGGATTCTAAGATGATTGATTAATGATACATTGCCTATATTGATATTGGTCTTGCGAATATCTGGCGCATGATATTCTTCCTTTTAAACTTGATATTCTTTATTTGTGTCTTGATATGTTGTTGTGAAGTAAGTTTTCAGATCTCCAAAGTCGTGATGGTGTTTACGAATATTTACTTATTGTTTTTTTTGAATATCCAAAGGCTGATTCTTATATTGGGAATATTCAGTTTCACTTGGGACACTGTGGAATCCCAATTTAAAATGATGATTACGTAGATCTTTCTAGGTTTCTTCAGACAGTTGTGCTTTTTGTGATTCTTTTGGATTAAATGATAATTTTGCAATAGATTAATAATTGACATTGTCTTCTCCTAATTCAAAATGGGCTTTTCGAGGATTTGCTATGTATGCTTCAAAATGTTTAGCTTCTTCAGTAGTTGGCAATTCCTTATCCGGTTTTTTGGCAGTATAATCATCCAGGTAATTGGTACTGCCAGAAGCTAACATGAAATGTAATTGACTATACATTTATCAAACCCAACTGAAAAATGAGCCATACGAAAATCATTCATTTGTTTCTTTATGTCGCTACTCATTAATATTAAACTTAGAAAATAATTATTATATATTAAATTTATATTTGTTGTTTAATCCTTCTCATTAAGTTTACCCAACAAGTGCTTCAGCAGCTTAAGGCACATCATCCACAGAAGCTTATTATTCCTAACTTTATGCTTCATTTTATTGAATTTAAGGAGTTTCAGATTACTATTATTCTTGTTATTATGATTATTCTTATTATTAGGCATCAACTTCTACTTATTATTATTCTTAAACTTATTATTCTTATACTTATTCTGTTTATTAAACTTATTCTTAAACTTGTTCTGTTTATTAAACTTATTCCTATACTTATTCTGTTTATTAAACTTATTCTTACACTTATTCAGTTTATTACACCTATTCTTATACCTATTCAACGTTAACTTATTAATCTTCTTCAATTTATGGTGCATCAAATTATTCTTATGTTTCTTATATCAATTATGGTTATGGTCCAGTAACGTCATCACCTGAAACATAAAATAGAGTTGAATACTTGATGCAATATCAGATCCAGCCAATGATAAAGATGGTTTTGCAATGAATACATCCTTTTATGTGTCAGCCATAACTAATGGATCAGTTAAACATTTCTCACTTGTCAAGAAGGCTACTTATTCATTTTTGGTAGAGTCTAATGTAGTGAATTGTTATCTAAATTAAAAACGATTATGTTACCCGATTGGAACATAGATTGAAAAGATTGGGATTTGGAAGTTCAGGGCATCCTCAGCTTTACATACTTTTCCTGATGTGCCTTTGAAATCGCATGCAGAGTAAAGTACAACACAATCTCCAGTGGCTGGTAAATCTTTTTCATATGAAGCAGCCAAAAAGACTTAAGATTGATCTGCACTATTTAAGGCTGATTAATTTTCATCTTCAAAATTGAATCCTGATGTGTATTGTTTGGCAGGCTCTGAATTTCTAGCCAATTCTTCCTCTGTAAACAACGAAGATTGTTGGGCAAAGACTGTGAATTACATGTATGGTTTTTCATCATCCTCCAATAATACTGCAGGTTCGTCTAAAAATTTAACTGCTTTGATGGCAACAATGAGCAATAAAATATGAGATGTACGCATATTTATATATAATATTAAAAACGAATTATATAATTTGCCATAAATCAATTGGATGCACTTACTTTTATGATTATTGGGACAATAATGTATAAAAGTCCAGCCAAGATGATCAATCCAATGATGATCTTTAACTTCATGTTTCTCCAATACATAATCGAAGCCTAAGTTTAAATTTGCAATCTTACTAAATCAGCAGCATTCTTAGAAAAATTTTTTGCTCCATCCGCCAGTTTTTCACTCTTTATTTAAAGCTAATCCAACTACTGTGTGTTGCTAATCATGTTTTTAATGTTATCTTCCATCACCGTTTTGGTTTGCTCTACCTAATTATAGAATAGCATCATATGAAAACATTTATTCTTGCTTCGTATATTTTATCCAAAGAAACTAAATCGTTATACTTCAAGCCCAATTCCTTGAGAGGTGTCTTTATGTGCAATTTAAGACTGGCATCATCTTTCAATGATTCACTATTGCCCAACTTGGAGAATTCATTTTAAATCTCCTGAATCAAAGCATAAGCATGCCTCTCTGGATAGGTGGGCACTAAATTAACAATCAATACCCATACCCCCCAAAACTAAATATAAAAGCCCTTTGTCGTCAATTTTACAAAACCAACTCCCATTTGCAGAATCAACTTTCTATCTTTCCTCTATCCTCAGTTGATTTCTCTTTAAATCCTAACAGACTTTGGACAACTCATTTTTGAAAGTTACCTCACTTCCAGACTCAAGTAGGCTTGAGGCAATCAACTTTTCAGTTTCATGGCGATAAACCACCAAGTATTTCAAAGAATTTGGCATAAAATTTATTATTTAAACTTAAAATTACAATAGATATTTATTTATCATTTCTTCTACTACTCCAAACCCTATTTGATACGAGGCACCAACTCCTCTATTATTATTAAATGATGTGAATTCCATACCTCTTACTTATCTGGCCTTTTCTCTTATTTACTGCATGTTCTTGCTCTTGGCATTGGCTCTGATCTTCTTAAACATAGGCGCATATTTAAACACATCTGGAATCACAACAAATCTAATCTGACTGCCTCTCAAATAGACCTATTCTAATGACATGGGTCTGCCATCTCTGGTGACCATCTACACCTCATCCAATCTCACATTCATTGTGTCCTGTCTATGATACTCAAAGCTACCTCTGCCTCTGCCATGTACCCAGTGAACATCTCGCCTGTTTTGAGTTCAACTGTAACTATGTGATGAACTGCTTCGTGCATGATTTTGAGAGGGACGCCCAGGGACATTTTAAATTATATAATATATTTAATATTAGTATAAATATGCTTCTATATATATAAATTAATAAAAAGATTTTAAAGAAATGGACAACAAGAAATCACTATATGAGAGATTTGGAGGGGATCAACAAGTGTCTGAATTGATCGACTAATTCTATTACAAAGTCTTGTTCGATAAGTTGCTAAGAGACAAGTTCTTGAAGGCGGATATGAGCCGGGTTAGGTATCAATAGAAGAGATTCTTCTCTCAAATGATGGGCGACAAGAATACTCAATACACTGGCAAGTATACATAATCTAAGAATCCATTAGAGATTTGGTGGAAGTTCATAAAGGCTTGAATATCACAAATTAGCAGTTTGATAAATTTAAAGTGCATCTCAAAAACATCGCTCAGGATATGGAAGTGAGTGGAGCTGATTTAGAAGAATTACTCGATCACGTTGAAAAACACAGAGACCAAATAGTATTTAATAAAGCCGCATGATTTAACAATAACAAGTATAAGTATAAATAAGCCAATTCATAATTCTACTTTATTATATATATATATTCATTAATAATACTAGTGTCTATGCTTAGAAGGCTTTAACTAAATTGAATTGAATTTCTGCAGTCTGTCTTTCAAGTTGTCGGCCGTGAACTCCTTATCCACCTTATCCTCAATGAAAGTGCTCGACGGTATCTGACATTGCATACTACACAATAACATCACTTCGTACCTGTGAGTGATATCCACTGAATTCTCAATTATTGTTGAAAGAGACTTCCCCTTGATAATATTCTTGTGAAACTTTGCCTGCTGTTTAGTGCCCATCTTTATGAACCAATGATGCTGAAGAGCCTGTTAAGCTGACAACCTCTATTCTGGATCTGAAATCAAGAGAGCCTTCAACAAATTTATCCCAGAAGAAGACACCTTCCTACATAGTTACTTCCTTCTTTAACTATAAGACATTACTAAATTTGATAGTCCACTACTGCAGCCTCATTCCGTGACAGTATCTCTTCTTATGAGGATCCACTGAACGGGATTTTCCCAAAATAAAGCACGTAAAACAAACAGCCTAAACTGAACATGTCTGCTTTCGGGGTGTACAACTTTGTTTTGAAGATCTCTGGGGCAATGAATCCTGGAGTTCCACACTTCTTGAATGGGGTTTAGGGGATGTAGGTCTCTGAATAACAGAAATTAGTCAATAACACCGAGGGTAATTGACTCTGAATTAGAATACTATCCAATTTGATGTCCCTATGAAACACTCCTCTGGAATGCATGTGAGATATGGCTGTTAGAAGATTGAACATAATTTAAGCCACCAATCTCTCTTCCAAATTTTGAGAATTCTCCTTTAACCAACTCCTCATGTCCAAACCCTAATAATGATTGTATACAATGTAAATATTGGTGTCATCTTCATAAAGTTCATTAAAGAAGATTATCAAAGGAGAACTAGGTTAGATAAATAATACCTCAATTTACGAAGACTGCTAATTTCTTTGCCTAAACATTGTAATTAATAATTCGTTATATTTGCTTTATCAATTATTTTTACTAATTTGTAATTATTGCTGTGGATGCAATTATAATAACATTGTCCAAACAAGGGATCTTCCAATTTAGACTTGTTTAGGACTTTAAATTTTTGTTTGAATTTATCCAAAACGCAATATCTTTTGAATAAGAGAAACCATTTCCTGAACTCATCTGCTGAATCTATGAGGAAGGTTTCCTATTGGTCTCTTTATTGCAATGCTATGCCGTATTTGTGATGGGGTAGAACTTGATCATAAAATGTAAATTTTCTCAACCTGCACTTGTCTAATGTGCAGTATACAAGCTGGTTTGGAGAAAGCCTTTTATATAATCTCTCAGGACATATTTCCAAGTAGACTGGGATAAATTTGTCATATTATTTCATCAATACATTTCCTGGATAAAGCACAATTGAATTGTACCTTGTTATTATAAGGGAAGGGGAGGTGGTTGATTGTCTTATTTCCACATGACTGCGTCTTCATTTTAATCAAAAATAGTTCTCCTAAATTATAACATGTAATTATATAATATTTTTATATTTGTATATTGATGATCAATGTCAACCCTTCTTGTTTTCCAAATTCTCGAACTTTACCCACGAAGACCCTGATTCAATGCTTTCTAACTAAAATGCAGATATTCACACACAGTTTACTTCGTCTGCTATTTCTTCCTCTGTGTGTCCGCTGCGTAATACTGATGTCCAAAAGTTTAGCCACTCCTCTTCGGATATTGTCCCACTATTGTCAGTATCCACTGACTTAAATAATTCTTCTGTATTCAATTTTGCGAAATTACTCTTCCTTCATTACCATTGACATTTATATAAATACCAATATTTTATTGTTTCCGACTTCTCAATCGACTTTGATCCATCCACATCGAATCTTGCGAATAACTTTAGCACTCTCTCTCTCATTTGTGGAGATAACTCAAATCATTTACAATTCTTTACCTCTTTGCCTTAAGTTGGGCCCATTCCTTATATTTTTATAAATTTATTAATGAGTGACTAGGATTCTGGTCCAAACTTTCCACAGACTCTCCAAGTCTCAAATCAAATAGAAATCTCAAATAGAACCTATAGCGAAATCCTCATGGAACAGATTGTCAACGACGACGACTTCTTGTATCAATCCATGGTCGATGATGATCAATACTCTAGAGCCAAAGTCATTCCTACCAAAGCCAATCAAACCATCATATACAGAAATACAATAGACATGAAGAGATAACAACCAAACATATTTTAAAGATGCTTTGGAAGTAAGAAATCTTCCAATAAGGTTACAATGGCAGAGATCATTGATCTTAGACAAAAAGAATTATTTAATGATTATGTATATGAGACTGAAAAGGATGGATTCCTAAAGGATGTTTAAAAGTACATTCATAAAGTCAAAGTTCTTGAACCAGACTCCTAATTTTACATACTTTGGTAGGTTCTAAATAGTATTTTGGTCGTTCTCTTTTTCTTTTAAATACCTTTCATATTTGCCTATTAACCCCTTATCCAGGAAAATAAATCAAATGACTATTAGGACTTTGAAACAATTGCTCTAAATATAGCAATCTGTATTTTTATCATTGACATTGCCCTCACTTTCAATATTGCTTTTTACAAATAAGGATATTTGGTAAGTGGAAGAAAGCAAATTGCTGTAAACTATATAAAAACTTATTTCTTCCTGGATCTAATCCCCTTATGTTGTTTGATTGAGTATCGAGTATTTCTTCACAAGGACAGGTAATTTGGCATCACAATATTCTTATTCATTCTTAAAATTTACGAAGTCTTCAAAACAAGCAATATGATATAAGAATATTTGTAATTGGAACCTTAAAAATTGGCAAAATATAGATTATTGATTGTTATGTTGACAATCACATGGTTGTGTCATTTATTTGCATGTGTTTTCTTTTTTGTGGGAAGAAGGGAGCTCAGTAAAGGAGATGAAAGTGTATCTTGGCTAAGTGAAAGTGATTTGATCACAATGCATGGTGGTTATACTTATTTAAAAAAACATATATTTGAATTGCATTTATACTCGTTTTATTGGGCAGTCACTACGATGATTTCAGTGGGATATGGAGATGTAACTCCTAAGAATGCTTGGGAAGTTCTTGTTACTGTGGTGACTCAATTCATCTCTTGCATCGTTTTTGCTTATTCTGTTAATGCAATTTGGGAGATGATTAATTAGTAGAATGAAAATAAACAGAAATTTCAGTATTTCTTAAACCATTATTTATTCTAGAAAGTATGTTAATGCTATAGAAAGATTTATGCGAGAACACAATGTCGATAGAAAATTAAAAGCTAGAATAGAAGCCTACCTTTATCATTTATGGGAATCAGAAAAAGCAAGGGATCACGAACTAGAATAAGCCATGATCCTCAAATTAGCTCCTGCTCTTAAAGAAGAATTAATTTACTAAACTTTAGGCAAGATGCTCAAATACAATCAATTCTTCAGTTACTTCTAGTAAGACCTCTTAATTGAGTTGGCTTAAGATATCTAATAGCAATACTACTCGCAAGAGGAAGTGATATTCCAAGAAAGAGAAGAAATAGATGACTTTCCAGTCTTCTTTCTAACCAAGGGTTCAGTGGAAATATACTTAGATAGCGATAAGCCAATCAAATTGCATATAATGAAATCAGGCATCTTTGGAATAGTAGCTTTTATTACTGGCTACAAGAGAACTGCCTCAGCTCGTTGCTTGACATACTCAGTTATTTACAAATTGTCGAGAACTCAATTTTTAAAAAGACTAGAGAAGTATTCTATTGAAAAATAGAAGTTCTTTGAAATCAGACATCAAGTTCTCTTCAATAACAACAATGTTTAATTAAAATTAAAATGCTACATCTGCGAAAGCAAGAAGCACCTAGTCATTAATTGCAAAAAGACACTCTATATACCTGAGAAAATGCCTATTATTTTAGAGACCTACAATCTCTAAAATTAAAGAGATCATCTCTATTAAAGAAGAGTAGTTAAACAATAATTCAAGGCTCTGTCTCACATTCGAGAAGTATAGGTTAATGCTGTAGCCATCAAGAAGTACTTCTAAAATATCACATTCACTCAAAATTCAAGTGATGAAGACATTGAGTATAGTTCAGATGTGGATGATTATGAGGAGGAAATGGAGGATATTAAGAAGATAGTCGAGTAAGAGAAAGAAAAGGCATAATTACGAAAGAGAGGACAATGGATAGAAGATGATGATTATGAGATGAAGATTGATGAAAGTAAGGACAATCATAGTATAGAATTATCAGATGGATTAAGAAAGTCTCAGTAACTGATTAAGCATTCTGATGAGGAAATCAAAAAGAAATCAAATCTCACTAAAAAGAAGAAATTCTAAAGTTTCGTTAAGTTAGAAAAACTTAGAAATGTTAGAACATCATCTATGTCAAGTCTAACACCAATCTAAGAATAGGTAAAGAAGACTGTTCCTGCCAAAAAAGACAAAGGTTTGAGTGCTCTATTGCCTAACAATTATTTAGCTCAAAGGAAAAAGAGTAAATTGTTGTAATAAAGTGAAATTCAAAATCTTAATAAACCTCAGTAGATTCACCAATAAAATGAAAAGTTTGATAAGGTACAATCTCCAGATCGACACGTTTATAATGAATCTAAAAAGTCAGAACTTCTAAGAAAGATGAAATTTCTTTCAATAGCGTAGCCTAAAAATAAAGAGATTTAATCTATCATAGACGAACTTAAGTATTTTTTTTACATTCATTATAATAGAAACTACATTTAAAATAGTTAGAATCTATAAGGCAGTGTTACCAAGGAACCTGGCTCTGCGTTGAAGACTGAGAAGGTTGATAATACTATTTAGTAAATGGAGAGTCACTCTGATGTTGATAGCCAATTTAGTATTGATCATATGGCGAATTATGATGCTTACTTTTAGGAAGAAAATCCAGAAAAGGTCATCAAGAAATATAAAAAACAAACTAAAGATAAGATCAAATAAAGAAGGACTACAATGATGAGACAATTTGTTTGAAAATCAAGATACACAATTTATTTTAATCTTATTGATAATTTATAGTTATAATGCTCTTTTGTATTTCAAATGGAAATGTTCATTTAAATTACTAAAATTTATTTTCAGAATTTATTCGAAATTTTATTAATAAATAATAAATAAAATTTAACGTATATATATGAGTTAATTAGAACCATTTGAACACCATTATAGTAATTAATACTTCGAAGTATTTGGATGTTCTCATAAGAATAGACATATCTATTCAGAGAAAATGATTTGCACAGATTGTGGCATTTTCTTAAATAATGTAAAATTCATCACTAAATCATAGCCCAATGCTAAGGTTTATAAAACACTCAGGATGAAATACAGTGCATTTTTCAATCCAATTAAAGTGCTACAACGGATGATGGTTGATGGTTAGCCATGTGGGCCTTCCAAATAAAGATAATAGTTCATAGAATTCATTTTGTAAGTTTCAGAAAGACTTAATCTTTCAATCAATACCTCCTTTTTGGCTATCAATTATATTGATGAGTATTTCAATAAGGTTGCTGTGGCTGAAAATCAGACTTATCTATTTGTTTCTACTGCTCTTATGTTGGCAGCAAAAGCATAAGAACTTGATGAGAGAGTTCCATTTATAAGCAAGTTAAAAAGATATGCCTCCTTAACTAATCATCCTGAAATCAATCAGTTCAGCATTTAGGATTTCAAATCGGCAGAACGATTAATAATACAAAAAATGGAATGGAAACTACAAAGAAACACCTTATTAGACAGAATTGAAGCTTTACTATCGTTTGGAGTGATTGATGATGATGATAGTTTGGTATAATAACAGTAGAAGGAAAATAAGGATTCCATTCATCAATAGCATATCAAACTTAGGGACTTATAAGAAAATTAGATTTTATATTATGTTAAAGAAGTGGAGAGCAAGTATGTTGAAATAGCTTTGTAAGTTATTAGAGGTATTGTATTCTAATGTTAATTGTAGATGATTAACTCTATTTCCAGACTGATTAGACTATATTGGCATTATCTTGTGTTGCTTATCTAAGAAAGAGAGCAGGTCTATTAAATATTTGGTCTTAATAATTGTAAAGTTTGACTGGAGTGGGAGCATAGAAAATATCATCATCAGTTTCCTAAATTATGACTCTGATTGCAAAAAGCAAGAGTTTCAAAACCATTACAAAAATGCAGACAAATCCTTCAGATCTATATTATGAATAGATTAACACACCTTCCAACACTCTTACAACTGTCAATTCAAATCTTGTTGTGAATAGAATCTTTTAGTTTGACTCTAAAAGACCATCCTTGGGAGATGCTATAATTCAAAAAGTTAAAGTTCCTCTGTTCTAAACTAAATCAACAGCTCATTTAGGAGATCCAAGTAAATAGCTTTTGTAAAACAATATGAATTTTACTACAAGCACTAATTATTCATGCTTGAATGATAATACTATAGGTCAGAATACACTCATTTCTTCACGTAGTATCCATCATAATGGAGAACTTGATAAAAAATATGAGTAAGTGCATAAAGTTGGAGGAAATATGTTTAGATAATTGCAGTGAATGTATTATTTTTTACTAACTAAAATTTATTAAAATTTAATTTCAGTTATTTTATTAATTCACATACGCATTCACAAAATCATATTTAGAAATTAAGTTATTAATTGCGACCTAAAATAATGAAATATTAATACATTTAGAATTTCATGATCTCTAATTTATTCAAATATGAATTATAAAATACTTCAAATTTTCACTTCCTCTTAATATACTTCCAGTAATATAATAATGAGTATTGATTTATAAGTGATTCAGATTTCGTCGAATTGTCTGTTGGAGTAGGTACAAGTAAAGGTGGAGATAAATATCAAGAAATAAGGTAAATCTCTAATTAGTTGAAAAGAGATTCTAAAATTAGAAGAATTATAAACCAAATAAGACATTGAATTAATTATTAGTAGAAATGGGTGGATTTGTATTTGATACTAATTTTCATGTTTTGGTAGATAAGAAGACAAATGAATTACTTTATCAATCACCCACAAGACCTGGTCGATTTAAGAAATCAACTTATTTACACATCTCCGAAAATTGAATGTAGAAATTTAATATTATGATTCATTTGACATCATATAATTAGATCCATCAGTATCTATGGAAAGATATGCAAAAGATTAGTTGCTTTGCACCAGGGTTTAGTGTAGCTGAAATAGTTCGCCTTTTTATTAAAGCTCCAACAGTATTAATTCTTTGATTATGATGACAAGGAGTAATAATTTATGTGTATTCAGATGATTTTGAAATATCATCAGAAAGAGCAATATTTACCAAAGGAGTCTAGTTAGGATTACTGGATTGAAAATACTGTATTTTAGAAGTTAGAATACAGAATAGATCTTTGTTAAATAGAGTATTACAAAGATTTTGGGGAAATAAAGAAGGGGTATTGAGTAGCGCATAATGTTGTTAACAAATTTAAAGGTGTTGGGTACTTAGGATTGAGGAAGGGTGAGTGCTAGAAGTCTTATAGTGATAGTGCAAAGCCAAGGTAGTTTGTGAAAAGATTAAAGGAGGATTATGGAAGAGAGACCAATTCCTAATAGCACTAGTTAGAGAGTAGAGTTGGAAATCAGAAAGGGTGACTGAAATTAGTTTGTGAATGAATTATATAATTTTATATGTTTCTTAATAGAATTCGTCGGTTTTCACATGCACGGGTATGTTATAATTATAAATATATAATTATTGGGGATTTAAAACAGAAGTATCTTTTAAAAAATCATCATTAAAGCAGAACATGTTAAAGGTTAGATAAATTTATTATATAAAATAAGCTTCCAAAGCATATGATTCGATAATTGAAATAGAAAAAGCATTCTAGAAAGTTTAAAAATTCTGACGATATTACTGAGCCTCACGCAAAACTATTACTGGAACGTTTCCCATATTCTATAAAAGATCTATAATTTAGGGAAGTTCCGACGTTGCACGTTAACTAAGACTTCTTTTAGGATCCCTTTAAGACAATAGATGATCTTTATGCCAAAGGGTATGAGAAATTCGGAATAGTGAAATTGCTTTTGCCTTCTGAGTTAATAGTTCCGGAAAAAAAATTCTTTAGTGACTTGGAGTAGAAGTTGAAGGGAAAGAGAGTGGAGACACGAGTGTAGACTTTAAATTCATAACAGGCCGGGGAGGTATTTGTTTAACCATAGTTTAGATATTTGGTTCAAATACTGTAGGATACACCTTGCAAGAGTATATGAGTTACGCCAACAAGTTTGAATGTAGTCACAAGTTATAGGGAGTAAGGGAAGTTTCAAATCAAATCAGATAGAACGAGATAGAATTCTGGTCAATAGTTGACTTTCCAGACCGGTATAGTGAACTAGAAGTGGAGTATGCAGCTGATTTGTTGGCAACTAAGTACGCCACTGGCTACCAAGATGGCTAATTGGGAAATCTGAGTACTATAAACAAGAATTGCAATTCTATCTTTCAGGTTCTCCAGGAGAAGAGTGAGATGAGCGGAATTTCAGTGCCTTGGCTTTACTTGGGAATGAAGTATGCTAACTTCTGTTGGCATAAGGAGGACTTGAATTTAAATTCCATGAACTACATGCATGCCGGAGCTCCCAAAACTTGGTATGAATGTCTTCTCTAACATTAGGTATGCGATACCTCCCTCTCACAGTGAAAAGTTTTTACAATATTTCAATAAGAAGTATGAGAAAGAAAGAATACATAACCCTCGTCTGTTGTACGACATCGTGTGTCAGATTTCGCCTATCGAGTTGGCCGAACAATAAATTACAATCCTCAGGACAGAACAGCACCCTGGTGAACTTATTATCACTCTGGGTGCTACCTATCATGCAGGATTCTCACATGGTATTTTATTAAATATAAATTATAGGATTCAATTGTAGCGAGGCTGTCAACGTTGCTCCTACACAATGGCTTGATGAATATGAACGTGCTTCAACTGAGTATCGTATGGATGGCAACCTTAAAAAGGTAATCCTTCCCTTTTAATTCTGTATAGGTTAGTTTTCCATTGGAGTGGCTGCTAACCAAAGTTGTTCTCATGGCAGATCAAGTCAAATTTACTAAACAATCATGGAATAAGGTATTCTTGTTGTAATAATTTAAGATATTCGACAAATTTAAAGTGATGATTCATTCTGAAATTGCCAATCGAAACAGCATCCTAGTTCTCTACGAATAGGTTAAGACTGTAGAGTTCGCAAACAAATTAGAAAAATACGATCGCAATGTCTGCAAAATCTGTTCCAATTATATGTTCTTTAGTTATATTTTCTGTGGAAAGTAAATCTTTTCTTGATCATTATAGATGTTTAAAAAAGGGATGCATTGCTCACCAGAGTGTTTGTGCCTGCGCTAATCCCAAAATTTCCCTCTATATTCGATATAATAGTGAGGAATTATAAACAATGCTTAAAACTGTAGAATCAAAGGCCAACTCAAAAACGGGGTAGTGATTACAGAAAATACTAAAATATATTTAAAGAATTTAATTCATATAAACTAATTATTTAGTTGAAATTGATTTCATCACTCCCTCACTAAAATTGGCAAAAATTCCAACATAACCATCAAATTATCATAACTTACCACTAAATTATAGTATATTTAAGTCTTAATTGTAAATTAAAATCGTCAAAATTAGATTTTATCCGAACCAATTAGATCCCTCATATTCTTGTTCTTTGGGTCTATTGAAACAAGTTTGTTAACTATTTCACCTAAATTATTTCATTTATTTACAAGGGTATTAAATATTATGCAATAATTCTATATTGAAAATTTTAAGTGTGTTTTCTTAACCATAATAAGTATATACACTTACTGTTTTAATTGTGGGTTTTCTATTACTTTTCGTTCTTACTCATAATCTAAATAATGTAAGACAGTGAAATTCAATAGATGATAATCATTATTAAGGAAGAATCAAAATTATCCTAATTTTACCGCCTTATTTATTTGGAATAACATTAAAAATGAATCATTAACGTCGATATATAAAATGAAAGGTTATATGTTGAAGAAGCATAAGATAAAATTGACTAATAGAATAACAATCAGATTTCTGACTTGGGAGTGTAAAATGATCCATATTTTATATGAACTTAAAAATGATTATTATAAAAATTTTGAAGATTCTTTGTTTATAAATGCATTACATATGATCATTTATTTCATTTATTCAAAATGAAAGGAAACAAAATAATATAAATGAAATGTTTAGAAATAAGTCATTTTATCCTAAACTAAGTATTGCTTATTAAAAATAATAGTTAATCAACAACATAAATCTTCTTGCTTCTTCTTTTCCTATTATTATTATTGCTATTATCTGGTTTATAATCTCATATTCGATGTCTTTCTAACTACAGCTTTGGAGTTATGAATTTCGCGGTTCAATATATTTTTGGTAATATGAGTAAAGGCAGCTTCAATGTTGGTTGAAGATTTGGCACTTGTTTCATAGAAGGGAATTTAAAATTGTCTTGCTAGATAATATAAATCGAAATTACATAATTCTAAACCCTCTTCATAAGAGACTTCTCTTCTTTCTGTAATATCAGCCTTATTTCCTACTAACATTCTGTTCACTGATTCAGAGGCGTATCTCATATTAATTATATAGAATACTTATCAATTTCAGCAATCCAAGTTTTCACATTTTCAAAAGATTCCCTGTCAGTAATATCATAAACGATTATAATTCCTTGGGCACCTCTATAATAACTACAGGTTATAGTTCTAAATCGATCTTAGCCAGCAGTATCCCACTATTTTAATATAATCACATATTTTACAATTTGCAATTTAACATTATGTTCTCCTATGGCGACAGTTTTAGTTTTAAAATCCACTCCAATGGTGTTGTAGAAATTATTGGTGAATTGATTTTCCTTATTGGATTAATGAATATGTAATACAGAATATCTCATCAGCATACACGACTTGCCTACACCTGAATTCCCTATGAGTAATACTTTGAAAAGAAAATGACTAAGGAAATAGAAATCATGATTACTAGTCTGAGTTGGAGTTCATTTGTATTTCAAAAATTTATTTATTACTGTTAATAATTAAATAAATTAGAATTATAAAAATATTCTAAGAGAATATTATACATCCCTCCAGATTAGATTGAAATGAGAATAAACAAGGTAAAAATTAACAATACAAAATGTGTAAAGGAATCATAAATCATCTCTTTTATCATTACTTACAGTTTCCCATTATGCATCATCTGTATTCACTTTTTCCCATTTGGTTCCATCCTAATCAACTGGGGGTTCAGATGAAGTCTCAGGTTCTTCTTCGATCTCAACTTCAAAATCTTTAATTGGTGCATCCCTATCGATACCCAAGGCAGAATTAAACAATTTATAGAATCTACTAGCAAACTTTTCTGGATTTGGGATCGAATATCCTATAATTACAATCAATGATATAAATTACCTGAATTGACTAAAGCAGCCTCATAGAGAACTCTAGCCATTTCTTCAGTTTCCTAATCAGGATCATCCTTGACTCTCTACAACAATTCTTAAATAGCTTAATGATTTGGATTGATTTCAACAATCTTCTTACCAAATTGATGAGAATTGCTTCCCTTGCTTGAATAAGCCTAAGCTTTTGAGATTCTTTCCATATTAGCTGAATATCCAGATTCTGAGGAAACCACAATGATGGGATCTTCAATCAATCTTTATGAAATGACAACTGAATCAACATTTTCTGATAACAATTTTCTCCACCAGTCAGTCAAGGGTTGGAATACTTTCTTCAAAGCTTTCTATTTCTTTCTTTGTTCATCATTATCTTCTGGTTGCTTGAAATCACCTTTGCCAACATTAACGAGTTTCTTTTATTTGTATTCATTCAAGTGTTAGAATGTGAATTCATCGACTGGATCTTCCAACAATAAGACTTCATATCCTTTTTTGATTAAGCCTTGAATGATTGGAGATGACAACAATTATTCTTTATTTTCACCTGCCAA